GGGTGTGGGGTGTGGGGGTGAGGGTGTTTACCTCCCCCAGATCTGATTGGAGAGACAGACCTGTAGAGAAGCAACTCTGTAAGGTGGTGGGTGGTGAGGGGTTTAAGGAGAGTGTGGAGCAAGCATTTACTTCAGTTATGCCTGCAGCACTTTTTGGTCCTGGAGAAAGGTAGGCTTGATTTAGGACCTGGGGCAGGCCTCTGTGGACAAGTGGGGTGTTCCCAGCAGAGGGGCAGCTTCTGGAGCACCTGGGAGGGAGAGGGCTGGGGCAGGGTGAGTGGAGTGGAGTGAGATCTCATGGCAGGTTGAAGTCAGGTGGCCCAGGGTCTGGAAGGCTGAGCTGGAGCGTTTAGCCCTCTTCAGACAGCCCAAGGCCAGGTGCCGTGTGGTGGAGGGAGGCTTCAGGAAAGCCACTCTGGAGCTGGAGGCCAGAGGGGAGAGTCTGGGGTCTCACTGATGGGTGGAGGAGGGTGGGGTCCCAGGGCAGTTTTCGGTGCCGCCTGGAGCTTGCGGGAGCTCTGCTGTAGCCCCAGGGTTTCCATCTGCAAGGCGGAGGATGGGCTGCCGTGGACTTTCCAGGTGAGAAGGGTCCAGTAGGCTTTTGTTTTGCCCTAAGGGGAGTTCCAGGTCATCAGATGCTTCAGCTGCACCGATCGAGAGGGCTGTACCATCTCTATCCTTTACGCTGTGATCGTGATCCATTACATTGATTGGTTTTTGAATATTAAACTAGATTTTTGTTTCTGGAATTTTCCTTGTGAGGGGAAACTTCATGAGCAGGTGATTCAGACCTGGGTGGCCCTTAGTGAAGGCACAGCTGGACGTCGTGATTTTCAGGGAGCCATCGGGAGGGCCATCTGAGGCTCTGAGGGGCTGTTCCTGTTCTGAACTCAGTGCTGGGAAAAGACTCTGCAGGGATGTGGGACCCTGGCCTTCATCCAGGCTGACCGTGGCCCTGCACATTGTCCCATTGGCTGCATGTAGATGGGTAGATTCTGAGCTGCTAGAAACCATGATTGAGGGAAACAGAACAAATCTCTAACCACCTCCTTGAATTAGTCTGATCATACAAAGCTTGTAACCCCCTTCATGGTCCATGAAATATACTTTGTGAATGTCAGCAAATGCTGTGATCTTTACCATCAACATCACGATCATCACAGTCATTATCACCATCACCATTATCATCATCATCACTTCTACCATTATCATTACCACTGTCATCATCATCACCACCATTACTATCATCACCACCATCACCATCACCATCATCATCAGCATTACCACCATCATCACCACTATTACCATCATCACTATCATAACCATCATTATCATCATCATCATCACTATTACCATTATCATCACCATCGCCATCACCACCGTTACCACCATCAGCATCATTAGCATCATTACCATCGCCATCACCACCATTACCACCATCAGCATCATTAGCATCATTGCCATCACCATCATCACCACCATTACAATCATCACCACCATTACAATCATCACCATCATTACAATCGTCACTACCATTACAGTCGTAACCACCATCATCACCACCATCATCACCATCACCATCATCACTGTCATTACCACCATCATCACCACTATTACCATCATTACCACCATCACCACTATCATCATCATTACCATCACCATCATCATCACCATCACCATCATTCCTGTCATCACCACCATCATCACCACTATTACCATCATCACCACCATCACCACCATCAGCATCATCAGCATCATCGCCATCACAATCATCACCACCATTACCATCATCACTACCATCATCACTATTACCATCATCATCATCACCATCATCACCACCATATCACCATCTTCACCATCAACATCACATCATCACCATTATCACTACCACCACTATTATCATCATCACCATCACCACCATCACCACTATCACCACCATCACCATCATCATCATCACCATCACCACCATTACCATCAACACCACATCATCACCATCACCTCACCGTCATCACCACCATATCCATCATTATCACCTTAACATCTTAACCATCATCATATCTTAACCATCATCCCTAACATCTTAACCATCATCATATCTTCACCACAAAGAAACAGTCAAGCCCTCTTGGAGGAAACAGTCAAGCCGTCTTGGAGGAAACGGTCATCACCAGCAGCAGCATTTGTGGTGCCCCTGGTGTTGTTCCAGCCGCAGGAGCAACAACCTCAACTCTAGCATCATTCCGTCAGCATGACGAGCAGCACTGGTGCAGGTGGAATTCTTCCTCCCTTCCTTATGGACAGGAGTCCTCGTTCTCTCCTGACATCACTGGACAGCTGTCTTAGGGTGATCTGGAGAGTGAGCAGAGGCGATGGCTTTGTCTTTCTAAACCTCTGATGCTCATAACCTGGGTGAGGCAGAGACTAGAATGCTAATTCTTTATTTTTGGAAAAAGATGTGTGTTGTCACTCTGGGCTGCTGCAGCTGTTTACAAGGAAAAGAGCTGCCAGGGGGGCCCCTCGTGCGGGGCTCGTCTCTGCGCCCTCTCCCACTCCACTCGTCACAGGTAGCATTCAATCTTCTGCACTGGACTCTGCTGTCCAGGGTGGAGGTGTCCACAGGGATGCACATTAGTAGCAGGTACTCTCCATCTGTAACTGAGCCGGTAAGAAAGGTAACTGGGTTTGAGAGAGAGGGGTAGTCTGCACTCACAGCCTGACCCCCAGAGGCAGGGGCTAGTGGAGGACGCGCTCCCTGGCCTCTCCAGCCTCTGGAGCTGCTGCATTCCTCGGCTGCTTTCCCCTTTCTTGTGACACTTGGACTCATTTCCTCTCTGGCCTCCGTCTCTCCTGCGACCCACTCATGGGGACCTTTGTGATGACAGTGGGCCCCCTGGGTGGTCCAGGATTAGCATTTCCATTGCAAGATCCTGAACTCATCACACCTGCAGTGTCTCCTTGCCCACATGAGGGACATCCTCACAGATTCTGGGACATCTTTAGAGGACGTCATTCTGTCTGCCACCCTCTTGTCAATGCCTCTTACATTGTGGTCTCTTGGTTCACCCTTACAGCTGGTCATTTAGTTGTTAACTTGAACACAGGCCAGGGCTGCTCAGCCAGTGCCTCTGCCCTGACCCTGCTGTGAGACCTGGGGCCACAGGCACACCCCTCTGGGGCTCTTTTCTCCTCCACTTACAAAATCATGGATCTGGAGGCTCATTTCGTAGCTGAAATTGTGGTTTCTGAATCTGTGTGTGAGATTCCACTGTCCACTTCTGGGCTAGGGATGGGATGGGCATGTGAATGTGAACGGCTCAGGAAGGGATGATGTGTGAGCTTCTCAGAGGCACACGTCCACATGGATTTACGCTTGACCTTCTCATTTCATCTTACTTTATTATTTTTCACATCGGCTTTCCCCTTACCTGTAGCAGAGTACAAGCTGGTAGGCATGCTGGTGGGGTGGTGGGCGTGTTATGGTTCCTGTGGGTTAAGAACATGGTTATGTTGAACCAGGGAGTCAGCATATGCTCTGGGCTTCCTTTACCTGGCACAGTTATTTCCTGTTAAAGAGTCACCATAAAATGCTAAATAAACTTAATAACTACTAATAACCATCTCTGTCAGTTGAGGACACTTACATTTTATGAATTTGGGGGAAATATAGGAAACTACCTGAGAAAAATGGATTTTTTATACATATATGATTTTTTTTGAGAGTTTTAAAGAATTTTTATGACCATGTGAAAGTGTCCTTGTCTTGACTTTTAAAAAAGGACTCTGGAAGCTAAAAAAGTCCTTATAGCAGGAAAAACAAAATACCTACAAATACAAGAACCATCACCATTAGTGAAGTATTTTCCGTGCCCCATGGTACCCTTTAAGATGCAAAATGCACCCACAATTCTGAGGTGGGTGTCATGGTCCTTATTTAATAGACTGAGAAACTGGAGACAGATGGGAGTCACATGCAGGCGGCCCCCCAGGTGTTCAGAGGTAGGGGGTGCCTGCTCACGTTGTCGGTCTCTAGAGGCTGTGAACGTGGGGCTCCTGGAGGCTGCATAGCATGCAAGTCTAGCCTGCCTCTGCAGCCCAGGGCAGCTCAGTTCCCTGAGGCCACCCCCTGGAGGCTGCGCGGGGTCCTGTCCTCAGAGGTGGAGGCATGCAAGATTGAAAGTCTTGTAAAAATAAGTCTTTTATTTTAGTTGGGGAGACTGGTGCACACAGATCAAGATACGAAGGGGTGAAGTGGGGTGTGTGCTGGGGCTGCTCAGAGGAGCAGAGTGGAAAGAGCCAGCAAATTCAGGGCCTGGTATTGTGGACGAGGTGCACCCTGTGGGCCAGGGAGGGCTGTGCTGGTGCACACAGGGCTGCAGGCTGGCCCCTCCAGGGAAGCGGGCTTGGAACGGAGGTGAGGGAGGTGCTAGGAGACGACAGGGCATATTCCTCAGGAATAAAAGGGAGTGAAGTCCTGATACCAGATTTTACTCAGGGCACCCTTGAGGGCATCCTGCCAAGTGACAGAAGTCAGACGCACCGGGCAGATGCTGCGGGGTTCCACTTGTGAGCTGTCAGATGCTTGGGGACCCAGAGCAGATTGGAGGTCGCAGGCTAGGAGGGAGAATGGGGCGTCTGTTGAATGGACGTGGGGTTTCTGTTTGGAGAGACGGAAGCGTTTTGGAAACAAGTTGGGGAGACGGTTGTACGACATTGTGACTGTACTTAATGTCACTGGATCGGACACTTAGCAGCGGTTCCAGTGGCAAATTTTGCATCGTATTACACTTGGCGCCCTTAAAAATAAACGATCCTGGTCGTCTGGTGGGTGGCCTTGGCTTCAGTGTCAGGAGGAAGAGGCCACTTTGTGGGTGTCAGAGAGGATGAGGCGAAGACTGACTGGGACTCAGTTTTGACAAGCAAACAGCATTAAAAACAAGCACAGATAACCAAGGGTAGTCCGACCCCTCCTCCATTAACACATTTCCCCCTTTTCTCCACAGCGTTCTATAACTACGACGCCAGAGGAGCAGATGAGCTTTCTTTGCAGATTGGAGACACGGTGCACATCTTGGAGACCTATGAAGGTGTGTCATTTTGCTGTCTTTTCTCCTGTGGTTTTGGACAGTTGAATACTTCTTCAGTCCCTATGACCAAAAACGTATGTCATCACATTCAGTTTTTGTGATTATTTTTTATAGATGGCTGCAGTTGGGGGTAAAGGTATTGGGGCAGCTCTCGTTTTTAAAATAAGATCAACCTAAAACTAAAAATCCCCATTTTTAACATCTAAAAAAACCCCCATTGGCACCTCAGTTTGCAAGTGGATGTAAATCTTGGCTGTTCATAACCGACCACTTGATTAAAAAAAAAAATAGCTCTAAGATATTTCAGTGTTTGGTCTGTTGCTTTGATGTGTTGGTGTGAACTGTGAGGTTTTTCATGCTATCACGATTTCTCATTCTCTTTCCTTTTTCTTTTTATCTGTGACCCCCACCTTCTCAGGGGTGAGCAGATTGTCACAGCTCTGTGGGACGCAGTCCTGTGAGCAGTCGTTACAGTCACTCACTAAAGACCCTGTTGGTCATAGTGTCTTTCTGGCGTCCTTGTTAATTTTCAGGCAGTTGGTTTTCATATTTAGTGTTTTGCAAATTATTTGAGCAGACCATCTTTCCTTTTATGCTGTGCTTATCATCGCATAGAAGGAAAGAGATGATGGGCTGGCCGTTTTCTTTATTTTTTTGCAGTGCTGGGCTTGGAACCCAGGGCTGCACACATACTAGGGGAACAGACGCTCTCCCGCTGAGTCCCGCCCCCAGCCCTGGGCTTGGTTTTTTTAACCACTGCTGCAATCTGGATGTTAAGATTGTGTTTTCGTGTTGTTGGGTTCATTTTCTGCTTGAAGGGGTGATTCCCATACAGCATGCGAATAAAAAGAACTGATTAAGATGGATCATTTAAATAACCCAATTGCTTTTAGACCAGCTTTGGCTAAACCTTTCCAAATGGGAGAGGGAATCGTAGACATCCCATAGCAATCAGCAAATTGAACATCCAGCTCAGTCTTCACAATCCACTTTGCACAAGAATGAGCTGTGCTAGTCTTGTGTGTACCAGGTGAGCCGTGCCTGGCTCAGGTGTCCTTGGGGACACCTCTGAGACACACAGATGCATTAAAATAGGCATGGCTGTGGCTGTCTCTCTTTTCCCTTTATGATGCGTGCTGACTTAAAACTTATTCTGTTTGCACGTCTTACCCTGAAAGTCCTATCTCAGTTTTTTTTTGTGTGTGTGTGTCTGTGTTGGTGGTGTATGGCTGGGAACAGTTGTAGCTCTGCAAAACAGAGCTGTTCCTTAAGTGAATTGGTAGTTGTGAGGGGCACTGGCTGCTGGTTTCCAATGTTGACAGCTGACAGTTGGATTTCCTTATCTACTCTCGGTACATATTGCCCGTGGCTTAGAGGAAACAGAGAAATTAAGTAGAGGTTAAGGATCAACTCTTTCATCTCAGACTGAAGGGAAATGCTCTGATATCTTCTTTATTTTTGCCGCTGGTCAGTTGAACTTGAATCGTGGGTAATAAACACTGGGCTGTGACATCATTCCTGAATAGTTAACGATTTCCTGCAGGGCCCCGGATGTAGGGACTTCAGTGTCTTATTCCTTGCTTAGGAACAAGAATGCACTCTTTAAACAGGGCCCTCCTTAGACGTCAGCCGTCCTTGGGATGCACTTCCGGGTCATCTGACAGTGAGTGGCCTTTGGCTCTTTGGCCGACACTGCAAGGGGCTCTTCATGGAGCCTTCCTCTCGGGCTGGACCAGCCCTCTAAAACGTTTCAGTCCTCATAGACTCTGACATGAAATGGATTTCCCTCCCTTGACAGCTAACGGCTTGGTTTTGATCAGTCTGATGAGAGAGATTCATTTAGGGAATTAGGTGCAAATTTGAGCAACTTGGTGACAGCGTCAAATAGAAGTGGACTGGTTATTTCCATTGTTTTCCTCGTGTTCTGTCTAGGATTCATGGTCCGTCTTAGAGCTTGTTCTCCCAGCCCCACTTTTACTCGAAGGAGAGTTTTCTGCCTTTCTCTGTGATCCCTTGGGGTGAGTCAGGCTTGTTCCCAGGATGTAGCTTCAGATAACTCCCCCCACAGGGACTTGCTTTCCTGGGTCACTTTTATTAAATAAGGTTCTGAGAACACGTGTGCCTTCAGGTGGGGGTGAATCGCTCTTTCTCAGGCTCCGTCCACCAGGCCTGGAGCCCAGAACACAGAAAAGGTATCTGCCAGGCCCCTGTGGGGTGGGGAGGAGCTTGTGGCCCTTTGCTGCAGGCTCCTGCCCTGAAGCAGCATCCAGAGACCACCTGATGCCAGGTCAAGTGACTCTGGTGTGGCCGTGACAGCTCTGCTGTCTGCTCATTTCCATGAGGGTCCCCAGGGGCTGAATGCCTTACCTGGGGGAAGCTGCAGGCATCACTTGTAAAGAGCAGGAAACAGTCCTTTTGGTTCAGCCACAACATTCAAATTTTAAAAGTGTCAATGACTATTATATTTTATTCCAAAGTGACCTGCTGTTTTCCTGTGCTGGACGGTGGCCTCCCTGAGTCCAGGGACTGTGTTTTGCCCAGGTTGGCCTGTCTCTTGGGCGATGACCCGTTGCCGGCCTCGGTGGAGGCTGCTGCGAGCCCCGTGAGTTCTGCTGGCTGAGACTCTCCTCCCCCAGCCTCCTCCCTGCTTTGCGAGCAGGAGGTCACAGTGTCCCATCCCCTCGTTCTCCAGGTGACCTTCTCTCCCTGTCGGACTGACTGCTGTTTGCAGGCTGGTTTGTGCTTTGGCCCTGCCTGTCTGAGGGGCTTTCTGGGTATGAGCTCACGGAGGACAGAGGTTGGGGCCATCCGTTTCCGCGTCTGTGCACCGAGGAAACTTCCGACACATAGTTCCGTAACATGAGGGAATAATGCTTCAAAGACCTGGGGAAGGGAACTGTGGGTCTGCACTTTGCTCAGGAAGCCCATTTACAAGGAAACTTAGCATCTGTTCACATTAAGTGACGCAAGATTCCTCCTTGTCCTCACAGTGTGTGCTCCCCCTGCCCCTCCAAGAAACAATTCTGCTCTGTTTGAAGGGGTCTTGTTTACCCGAGTCCTCGCCCTATCGGGGTTGTGTTGAGGGTAGATGAACGTAGCCTCAGCTCTCCTTCTGCCTCTAGAAGGGGCTGCCCTCCTCCCAGTGCCGCTCCAGCTGCTTTGCCAACGCCCTCCCAGTCGTGGGTGCTCAGATGGCCACTCTGCCAGCCGCCCTGGGTCCTGCACCGCGAACACACCTGTCTGTCCTGTGGATGTCTTTGGGCTGTGTTTCCTGAGGTGGTTGCTGGTCTCCTGTGGTGGGGACCCTCCCTTTAGGTGCACTGGGCCTGCTGCTCCCTTCCTGGCAGCTGTAATGCACATTCCCCGCTGCGTTGTTCTTACCACTCTTGATAACTGTGTAGCAGTGCTTTTTAAAAGAGCTTTTGATTCATCTTTTTAAAATTTTTAATTTTTTTGGTACCACAATGTGAACCCTGGGGCACTCGGCCACTGAGCCACATCTCCAGCCCTTTTTATTTTTTATTTTGAGACAGGGTCTTGTTAAGTTGCTTAGGGCCTCGCTAAGTTGCTGAAGCTGGCCTTGAATTTGTGATCCTCCTGTCTCAGCCTCCTGAGCTGCTGGGATTATAGGCATGCACCACCATACCTGGCTTAAGTTGTCCTTTCTTGTTAGTGAGTTTGAGCATCTCTCAAATGCATAAGTCTTTAGGCTTCTTCTTTATGCATTGTTTCTACACTTTGCTCTTATTTTTATTTGGTTGCTGCTTTCTTCTTTCCTCTATGAAATTTCCTCATCCTTATTAATCCTTTGTCAGTTTCAGAAAACAATGGACGTGTTAGTGTTGAAATGCAGGAAGGACATAATAGCAGGATAAAGGACAGTCCTCCAAATTGAGCAAATGCAGTTTGAACAGCTCGTTAGGTTCACCTTCTCTCCTCCTGCACTTTGCTGTCTGTGGACGCTGTCACCGGTGGCCCTGACTCGGGGCTGGAGTATCTGAAACCTCTGGACTCCACTGTGGCCATCAGGAGGTAACCCTCCAGATACACGCCTGATGCCTGGACACTTACTATCTGCAGTGGCCCCTGCTCAGGCTGGGGGTTCCTGTCTCTTCTTAATGTTTTGCTTATCTTAATACCATCACGTTTTGGTTCCCAAACCGCCTTCCCCCCTGGTTGTTAAAATTGCTTCTTTTTGAGATGGGGCAGAGGGTAATTGCTGCTGCGTGTGCCTGTTCCCAGATCTGTCTGGGCTTCTTTCTCATGCCTGGACGTCCTTGGTATCTAGGGTTTGGCTTTTTGATAATGTATACAACTCCGGCGTTGGGTGAATCCCTGTGAATTTACCCAGCTTACACATTTTCCAAGTATTCCCTGCCACTCTCCAAAGAGGTCCTTTGCCTCCTGTGGGGCAGGGTTGGGTCTGTCTCTGAGCTTTGGGTTTGCTTTCCAGAGGTGAGTTTGCCTGGAGGGACTGCAGAATGTTTGGGAAGGAAAACACCCACCTGACGTCAGGGATGGTACAGTGGTCAGGAGACGGGTTCCTGGCCGTGGACCCCTGTCATTTGCAGGGACACACTCCTTCACAGAGTCTGCCGGGAGGTGCTGGGTGGGGTCAGGTCTGTCTGCTGGTGAAGTGACTGCTTTCAGTGTTTGATATAAATAGGGAGTCCTTCCCTTGTTTACTTTCTCTCCTGACATGGGGGAAAGGGAAATTGAATCCAGGCCACCCCCAGGGGGTGGGTGGGCCTCTGCTGGACCACACTTCCTGCTGCCACAGTCTGGCCACAGAAGCGCCTTGTGAGATCATGGCTGCCCCAGGGCATGGCTCCTCCCGTGGAGAGGGAGGAAGTTGGTTCTCAATAGGTTTTCTGTGCAGTGCAGCTCTTGATGATCTGAGGGTGCTGGTATGTGCACTCGGAGAGACCCTGATTCAAGGCAGACAGTGGGGAGAAGGGTCAGGGTATACATAAGGAGCCTACTAGGGACTTGTGGCTGAAAGGACAGCTTCCTCTTGGAACTGGGCTCCTTCCTTCAGCTTGCTGCCCAGGGCAAGGTGAGGCAAGTGGAGATAAAGGTCTGGCCTGCCTATGTGGACCTCAGGGCCCTAGGGTGTGCAATTCTGGGCTGATGGCCCTCAGGGAGATGTCCAACCCTGAGGCTGCTGCTGGCCCTGTTGGTCCTCCTGTTACTAACACTCCCTTCTGTCTGTGCAGGGTGGTACCGAGGCTACACCTTGAGGAAGAAGTCCAAGAAGGTAAGTCCTTTTCGTTATAGGTAGTGCTCGGTGTGGGAGGAAATCAACTCCATCTCATCTGGGCCTGGGTCGTACTTGCATGTCTTCTTTTCTGAATTTAAAAAATACATGATGGAAAGGTGAGCTACCTTGAGTGCTTTCCTCCTGGGCGGCCTGTTGTCCTCAGGTAGTGGGAACCCTCTTGTCCTGGTGAGGTTGGCCTCCTGTGTCGGCAGCGCAGGCCAGGGAACGAGCTGAGAGAGCAACTTCAGAGCAACACAGGCTGCCAGCAGCTTCCGGCCTCACTTCAGCCTCGACAAGGGAGCAGCTTGCGAGGCTCAGGCTTGCCTTTCCTCTTGCACTGGGTGATTTGTATACCACTCAGGTTGAGTAACAAAAAACTGTTTTTTAGGGCTGTTTGCTTGCCCGAGTCTCTGAATATCTGAAACTAAAACGTGTAATTAGACCTCAGATCACTCCCAGCCACAATTCCGTGGCTTTAGCATTCTTAGCTTTGCAAAACCTAATTATGGCTCTTCGGTTTGACTCTCTAATGTCGCGATTCTGAAGCACCGTCCATTCGAAGCGGTACTTAGGCGCCCATGCTAACTTGTATGTTTTAAGGTCTAATTACATTGGATGGACGGTTTGGGCCCTTCTTGGAGTTGGCCTCCCTCATCTCCGTCTTGGCCTGGGCTTTCTTTCCGCTGTGGTCCCGAGCCTTTAGACAGGCTTTGGAAGTTCTGCTCTGCCTTCCCCGGAGGCCTGAGCCAGGCCGTGCTGACCACATCTGAAGCTGCTCAAACTCTCACACCACAGTTACTTGGGAGGGGTGCAGGTTGGTCCCCAGGGCAGCCTTCTCTGGCGTTCCATGTTTAGGTTCTAACAGAGAGTCACTCGAAGGAGTAGTGGTCAGCTGAACCTCCAAATCAGAAGGACCTCTGCACTCGGCCCTGCCGGGCGCACACTGGGCTGTAAGTGTCCTGAGCCCCAGAGTCGGGAACAGACAGATTTCAACCCTGTGGTAGAAGACTCTTCAAGGACGATCTCTTTCCATCGATTTCTCTTGGGTTTTGATGGAGGAGTACTCTTGCAGAGGAAACCCTGAGTTTCTTCTGGAGCACCGCAGTTGAAGATGGTGGTAATGAAGACCCGAGGATTGGGGACCGACCCCCCCCCCCACCTCGCCTGCACCGAGGACGAAGCTGGGCCTCCTGTGCTGCCCAGGGGCTCTTTGTTTTCCTTGGTGCTCGTGTGGCACTTGGCTTTTGGGATCACCTCCCCGGGTTTCGGGTCTCTCCCACTCCCCGGTGCCTCCTGGACCCTAGTCCTCCTGCACCAGAGCCCTCGTTGGCAGAGGAGGAAGTGGAAGCTTGCAGAGCTTTAGTTCTGCCTATTCCCAGAAGCAGGGGAGGGACGTGGCCCTGAGAAACCTTGACTCTCAGTGCTCTGCAGGCCCGTCCCGAGTGCCCGAGACCAAGTGCTCATTTTCAGCCCCCAGGTGTGCCCAGCCTCATCTGGATGTGGCCCTTCCTCTGGCCTCACGACTGGGTGGGTTTGCTGAGACCGAGGGGATCTCTGCCTGTGCACTGCCAGGGCTGGGCGTGGCTCCTTTGCTTTTGTACCCTCATTTGAACACATTGGCCTCATGGAAAGATGCCCCTTTGACCATGCTGGAACTTAGCGGTGTCTGGGATACCTGGGACCTGGCTGGCTCAAGCTGTGTTGGGTCTCTTGGTCCTTCATGTGGCTCGGTCTCTGACTTCCTGCCTGAATCTTTGATTCTTGTGATAACATTTCCTTATATTCAGCCCAGCCACTGTCCCTGTAGGCAGGAGGAGCAGGGAACCCTGGTCAGCCCTTCCTGTGCCCCATGCCCTTCTGATCAAAATTGCCAGCCTGGTTTTGGATCTAGTATAGAGTCTTTGGGGGCAGATGCAGGGAGGACCCAGTGAGGAGCTCCCGTTCCTGCCACAGGACACTGACTGGGCTTCTGCTCTGTGCTCCAGGTCTCATGCAGGAAGTGCTTGCTGGCTTGTGCTGCCCGAGACCCCAGCCCCGTGGCCCCGGTGCACGTCTTCCCTGTGCTCACCTCTGCTCCGCTTCAGCAAGGGTCAGGGAGAGGACCACAGCTCTTGATAAAGCTCCTCCTGGCACTTTTCAGACTGTGTCTGACACCAGTGTCCTGTTAAGAAATCACCTCCCTGGGGCCCAGTCCTGTGGGTTGTGTGTGTGTTGCACTGTGGAGATGGAGCGTGGTGTACAGCATGAGCTAGCATGCTCCCCCGGCGGCTGTGCATATGGGACCATGTTCATCCCCCTTTATTTTACCACTGGTCCCTCTGTTTGGAGATTTTTGAGAAAGTTCCATTGTGTGTAGAGCAGGGGTCAGTGCATAAGTGGCAAGCCATGATATAAACCAACTTCTGATGACGATCTTATTATTTTGAAAGGGGTAATCTCCCTCAACCATCATCACCAGCCGGCCTTTGACTTGCCTGGGGCAAGATCAACAGCGGAAAAGGGAGCAACTTAAGGAGAAATGAGAAGTCAAATTTTTCCTTTGCAAACACATTGTCTCTTGTTTTCGTCTAAGACATCTGCGGACTCTTTGAAATACAAGCTGATTGCATTGCTGTTTTTCACACTTTGTGTTCTCTCTGATGTGTTGTATGTCAGGCTTAGCATAAGACTTGCAAAATTAATAGTGACCCAGCTATCCGGACCCCCACCTTTGCAGGGCTGTTGTTTGATTTTCGTGCACTGTTCATGTTGGTAATGAAAACTTTTTTTTTTTCCCTCAAAGGGTATATTTCCTGCTTCATATATTCATCTTAAAGAAGCAATAGTTGAAGGAAAAGGGTGAGTTTGTTCTCGATGTTTAAATGAAGAATTGCAATTACTTGTGGTGCAGCTGCTGAACAGTCAGCTGGGTGGCACTCGGGGGTAAGACCACCTGTATGACTGACGTCCGTAATTCGGGAGTTGAGGGGTCAGAAGGGGAATCCATGATTTAGAGTGCAGTACCATGTTGCTTTGAGCCTTCCGAGTCTGAAGTCACCAGCACAACTGCAGGCCTTCTCCTGGAACCTGGGTCTCTGCTTCCCTGTGAGCTACCCATTCGGCAGACGCCACAGCCCTGCCCCCTCCCACTCAGCTCGGAGTCCATTTTTTCTGGAAGGGTTGGCATGCTGTAATACAAATGGAGTTTAGGGGGTAGCAGCAGTTGTTAAATTGGGACACGTATGAATTTGCATTTCATCTCATTATGATCTGTGCTTCCTGGAGGTCATCACACTGATGCATACGGTCATTAAAGGGACATTTGTGGAGCAGGAACCCATTCAACAGGAATGGCAAATGAACAGCCAGGTGTGAATTCGGAAGAAGGAGCATTAAAATGTTTTCTTTTTTGGTCTCTGCTACATCTTCACACTCAGTTAAATATGTAAATTATAAAATTACTAATCATATGATTACTGCATAATGACATCTCTCTGGCTGATTACAAAATTGCCTTTCCAAGCACTGTACTTTTAACATATGAAAGGGCTGTTCGGGTTCTCTAGTTCCATGATGCATAATTAGAATGAAGAAAATAATTTAGAGGCATGAATGGTGATGACCTGCAATAGGGAGAGTTTTTTTTTTTCTTTTTTAGAGATAAAATGTTTTGTATGCAAAGTTCTAAGGGGAAGAAAAAGAAAGTTTCGAAATTGTTATATCCTCTTACAGAAATAACTGAATAATGTGGGCATCTAATGTACTTTATACCTGTGCTGAATCCTTGTCAGCTTGATAGATTAATATTTTTTCAAAGCATTCTGATGCCTATGAAGGAATCTACGTGACACGTAATTTTGAATCACTCTAATCAAGTGATCAGTCATTGCCTTGGTTCTCACTGAGGGGAGCCACGCCCTCCCAGGCAGGCAGGGACACTGTGTTCCTCTTGGCCTGGGTCTCCTGGTCTCAGGTGCTCTAGTAGGTCAGCAGATGGAGATGTGAGATGTGTGGTGTGCAGACCATGGTCCTGCTGGTGCTTTGCTTCTGGACGCTCCACGCTCCTGACCCGCTGGGCTGTCCACCTGCTCCCTCTGCAAAGGGCCTGGTGTCCACGGGCTCGACGGGATGGTGCCTCCTCTCCTCCTGAAGCTGCAGACATCCACCCTCCCTTCTGTGCTCCCTCCTCCTTCCTGGTGCGGGCCGCTCTCCCCACTACTGCCCGCCGCTGCTGCTGCCTCTGTGCTGTCCAGTTTCAGGCTCCCGCCCCTCTGCAGGCTCTTCTCTGAGGATCTCTGTGGTTGGTGTCTCTTTCTGGCACAGTCCCCACTGGTTCTCTCTCTTCCACGATCTCTTTCTCGCTTGGGCTCTCTCTTCTCTCAGGACATGGCCTTCTTCCGCTTTTGGACATCCCAAATGACTGACACGTGCCTGCTGTCCTGTCGTGGTGACCTGTGTGCCCTCATTTCCGGGCCTGGGGTCACTCCGGCGTTGGACACTGTGGCCACCGCTCCACGTAACGCCCCGGGGTGGTGCTGATGGCCTCCGGGCCCCTTTCTGCGATTCCCCTGACTGCTCCCAGGGCTGCTCCCCCTTCCTTCCCTGCCCGCTGCTGTCCGGTGCTGTCCTTGGCCTTCTGGGACTTCTCTGTTGCTCCCTGCTTGTGACCTGGCCTCTTGTCCTCACACCTGGTCCCTCAGGCTCAGCTGGGGACCTCCATGCCTGACCTTTCTCTCGATATCTTGCTTTTGTGTAAGAACAAGTGACAAGAAGAATCACCACCATTGGCCGAGCATCTGCTCTGCCTCATCCATTTTTTAAAATATTTTCCATTTTGAATTGACTAATAAAAGTTGCTTCCAGTTATGATGTACAACGTGATGTTCTGAAATATGTATTTGTGATGTAATGGCTAAGTCAGGCGATTAACATGCGCTACCTCCCGTTCTTGTTTATTTGTGGTGAGAAGACCTTGGGTCTGCTCCCTGGGTCATTTTCCGGTGAGGAAGTGTCCTTGCTGACTTAGTCACCGGGTTGTATGGCAGAGCTCTCGGATGTTCTCCCCACTCCACCAGAAGCCCCTGGCCTTTTGCCAGCCCCTCCCACCGTCCACCCCTGGTGGGCCATTCACTCTCACCGGTGCTCTGCCTTGACCTCTCCTCCGTCTGACCACGCCTACAGGCAGCCTCACTGGGGTTGGGCATTCTGTCCTGTAGGGGTCCTGCTCCCTGGCGGGCACAGCAAGACCAAGGGCACTAGTGTCAGTTGGCACGTTCGCCGAGGGGACATCAGGTGTATGGAAAGGGAGGAAGGAAGCAGGGACCAGAACGGAGACAGGGACCTGGTGCATGGATTGACGCCCTGGCCACGAGGACTTGGTCTGTGTGACTGAGTGCCAGGCTTCCAACCATGTGAGAACAGCCCCCAGACTCGGGCAGCCCAGACGTTGCCAGTGTGTGCCCAGTGGGACAGACGGCACCCTCCCCTGCAGGCCATGCAAATGACGCTGTAGACCCTTGAGAACCACATACGTATCAACCTCCCTGGGCCCTTGGTGACAGGCTCAGTGGGGTTGTCTTGGCAGTCACATCTCAGTGGATGCTGGTGGTGTCCTGTCACGGGAGGTCCTCAGCTGCAGTGTCATGTGGTGGGGGTGGCCTGGCACATAGCTCCTCCTCATGCATTAGGTCTGGGTCTCCCCATGAGGACAGTATTCCTTTGGGACTCACTGTCCCTTGCTTTGGAAGACTCCCCCCCACTAATAAGCCATTGCATGCTGAACCCCAGTCATGAGCCAAGTTAAGTCTCTCACAGGCCTGGGCCCATGTAATCAAGGACACGGGGGACCTATGGTAGTGCCCTGAACCTTCCCCCTGACTGGCTTCTGGTCTGTTCAGAATACACAGAGTGCTCCTGGGCCCTGGTACCCTAATAGACAAGCCATAGCTTCAGCCCTACCCAGTCCCAGCCTGTGAGTGTAGTGCCAGCTCTGAGAACTGCCCAGAAAATGAAGGCTGCTTTGATTGCCAAAAAGAAGATGCAGACGTGGGCAGAGTTAGAAATAAGCCAAGGCCTATCCTTCAGGGTGGAGGGAAAAGGTAAAAGGCCTGTCAGGCTCGGGACTGGATGGAGTACCCAAGGACACGTGAACGCTGTGACCTGGCTCCCACTTCACCAAGGACGACCGCTTCCTGCATGTCACTCGAGTTTTATGCATGATGGAAATGTGAAACAACCTTAACCCAAACCGCATGCCAGGGCCACGTGGACGGTGGTAATTTACCGCTTCTCTAAGATAGATGGGGCCGTGCTATGAGTGTGCTCTCCACTTCCAGACCCCCACAGTCTGAAGGCTTTTAATGGAGATCATTCTCATTCTTCATCTTGCTTTGACGTGCAGGTGGATGGCTGTCGTGCAGGAAAACACACGGACACTCTCAGGCTCTGTGCAAACCATGCTTAATGTTCTTGGGTATATTTCTTTGTGTGAACAGGCTTGCTGGTATCTTGTCTTTCTCTTTGTTTAAATGTTGAACTCAGGCCTGGACTGGGACTTTGTCAGGTACAGCGGACAGTGGTTGATGAACCTTGGAATCAGCCTCTTTTCCTTCTTTCATCCCAGGCAACATGAGACGGTCATCCCAGGTGACCTCCCGCTCATTCAGGAGGTCACCACGACGCTGCGCGAGTGGTCCACCATCTGGAGGCAGCTCTATGTGGTGAGAAGACGTGACATTAAACTTCTGCATCCCAAGAACCTCAGGGACAGGATCTTACCTAGAGAGGCCAGAGATAGCCTCCTGCCCCCTGATCTGACTGCTGTTGGGGGCCGTGTGCCCTTTGACCTGCACACTTGGGGAGCAGTGGGAGGCTATCAAGCGAGGGGCCGTGGACTCCCCTGCCTCCTGTGCAAAGGGGATGTGGTTGCTCTCCGGCCCTCAGACCAGGCCATCTGCGTTTATGTTACCTCCGAGTTTTTGTTTTGGTCAAGAAAACTAAAGTCTACTTTGAGACTGAAATAGGTGCCTTTTGATGGATGTCGTAGAGGGTGACTTTAGGTGGTGCCTCTTATCGGTTAAGATCTGTCATATTTTTGTGGTGGGGAGTGTTTTGTACTCTATCTTGCTGTGCAGTTGTCCAGTTGTTCTGATCCTAGGAGAAGTCTTATTAATGCAGAGGTTGGAGTTCTGGCATCTACATTTCATATTCCCTCAGGGCATTTCTTTGCACACAGATTCATATTTGCAGAAGGTTGGCTTTTGTTAAGCCTGTATTTCTATTCAGAGTGTTGATTTCTCATATGCTAATGTTATTACCACCAAGCAAGCGCTCTGGGAGGAAGTCAGTGCGTTAATTTCTCGGGAACATAGAAAACTTCCTAAAGTCCCACAGCTGCTCCTTGGGCAGCTTGTTGTTCTTGATTATACAGTGGTTTCCTATAAATGCACTGTAATAAGCAGTTGCAGTAATTGTTCATCAAATGTACTCAAAAACCTAAAAGCGTAAAGTTAGCCATGAATGTTTTGTGTAAATCTGAAGCAATTTCATAGTCGGTGTTTCATGTTCAACTTAGCAATTTTTTAAAAAAAATATGGCAACAAAATAAACAGGAGTCGATGGTGACTCGTGCGTGAGTGGACTCGGTTCTAGCTGCCCCAGAGTGGGCATTGCTGACCATCACCTTGGTTTCCTTTCACATTTCTAGAGTTTACCTCTGGTGGACTCACATGGTTCAGTTTGTGCAAAGTGAAGCAAAAGATGCTTATACTATTTTTATAAGCATTTTCTCTCTTCTCTGTGGTTGTAGACAAGTCAGCAAAGTATTAAGGATTTTAGAGAGTTGATAGGACAAGGAGAACTAGTCAGAGGGAAGGGAAAACAGTTTTACAATAAACTTGGAATTTTGACTATTTAGTTTTCATTTAAGAAATTAAAATTAGATAATGTGAAGAATAGCTCATGAGACGTAAGACAGCTCATTAGGTGTCCGGTGGGTGGGTGGTGGGGCCCCTAGAACCTCTTAGAAAGTAGGTCAGGTCCTAGAACCAGTAGGGTTAGTGGTTCAGATAAATGAAGACCTATTTTAAAACACAGCTATGTCCATATTTCAGTTTTTCAAAGGGACCATGGGATTAAAATATTATATTAGGTCCCACCAAGACTTCTTCCCATGGAAAGAACCACTGGGTCATTTTTCCTGTGGGTAATCCCTAAGCCCCTTGATGAATTGTAATCCTGCAATTGCAAATGTTGCTTTTTTTTGTACCATTAATCCTCGCAGAATATATAGAAAGTGGTAAGAAGCATGAATTTTGTGTCTTATTTGCATTTTCCTTGGGGCATAAGTGCTCTGAGAGCTTGTGAATGAGGTTTGGTGTCTTGCAGAAGCTCCTGTATGTGTGTGCAGGGCACCAGGGGGCCAGTGCGGCTCAGCTGATGGCCAGGCCTGGGGGTCCAGTTCCTCAGGGTGCTGGGAAGGGCCCAGGGTGCAGGGCATTACAAAGAGTATGCACTACTCAGCGGGAGTGTGGAGCTGTAGGTCCAGGGTCATTCAGAGGGATCTTTCTGCCTCACCCATCCACTGCCCCCGGTACAGGCTCGAGGTCATTGTCCAGTTCCTGCTGGCTAGCCTCTTGACCCAGTGGCACCTACTCAGGAATTTTGGGTGAAATCTTGGGGCTTGTGCATTCCTTCTTATTTTTTAACATTTAATTTCTATGGGGATCAAATTCTATATGATGTGTTCCATTTCATGCTAAAAACACTTTTTAATTTAACATTAATAGATCCCATGTTGTATTTGAAAAAATTTCCATTGAATATGATCTCCAGAATGTTATTTCGTACCCAGAATGCTATGGTTCACCTTATTTTTTCCCATGTAGCAAGATAACAGGGAGATGTTCCGCAGCGTTCGGCACATGATCTATGACCTTATTGAGTGGCGATCACAGATTCTTTCTGGAACTCTGCCCCAGGATGAGCTCAAAGAACTGAAGAAGAAAGTCACCGCCAAAATTGATTATGGAAACAGGTTTGTTTGTTTGAAAGATGATTTCATGCTTAAATTACCCAATATAATAGCATAACCATAAGCCTTGAGAACACCAAAATTACATTTTATCATGAAGCAAAATTTCTAACTTCCGAATCATGGCATGGTTTTCATTTAGAAAAGAATGAAGTATTTTCTATTAGATTCTGAAAGTCGGTAGTGTGCTGAGTCATCCTTGAAACTGTTCTCTCCATTCCCCCCACTGGAGGGGCAAAGGAGCTGAGAAGCCTGTCACTGTTCTGGCGAGACCCACAGTGATTTCTCCGACATGCAAGTTTTACTCTTGGCTTGGTATCTGACTTTGTGTCCAGAAGTGAGGGGACCTCGTGCAATAAGAAGAACCCTGTGTCCTGCGGTTCTGAGGGCAGGGATGGACGTTAGGGGGCCTTGTTCCCTGGGTAAGCATGCCCGCTTTCACAAACAGAAATGTGACCCTGCTGGGTCTGAATTCAGGTGAACACAGATAATTGCTTCTTTCACAGAGGGGTCTTGTGGGAGCTCTGTCTGTGCCAGGTGTACTTGAATGGCTTTAGCAGTGACTGCCCAGGACCCTCAGGGAGCATGTGCTAGTGGTAGCAAGAGTCCTCAGCTGCTGCCAGGTGCAGGGCTGCTGGGACCCTAATTCTCCAGGTCTGTAAGCAGAATGAGGCCGTGTCCTTTCCCACCTGATAACTATTTTGTTGTTTACGTAATGTCAAAGCTACAGAAAATCTTTAAAATGCTCTGGTCACCTGGTTCCCAAGTGCTTTTCCTATCCGCATTACTTGGAGAGGTTCTGAAAAGAGAATCCCGGGACCTGTTCCTTAAGATTCTGTTTTCTGATGTCTGCGTTACTGTCTGAGTGTGTCTGATGTGTGTCTGAGTGTGCACTATGTCTGTGGCTGTAGTGTCTGTGTGCACATTTGTTGTCCTTGGCTCTGTGTCTGAGTGTACCTGGGCCATGACCTTTATCACATTCTCAAATGGCTCCCAGGACCCCTTTCTACTGGGATTAAAGAAAAAAAAGGTCAAAACATCTAAGTGATGAGTGAAAAAGGCACAGAACACACAGCGCTGTTAGATGCAGCCATCGTAGACTCCAGCACCAATGCGTGGGGCTAGGAAGATCGAGCAGGGCACTGGGCGCTGGAGGAATCATGGAGCAGCCTGGTGGCCCTGGTGGCAAGAACCTCTCTTATTATATGTCCTATCAATGTAGTAAATTACAGTTGGAAATATTTTCTTTCTTAACTAGCTTGTTCTATGACACAACATATTCAGGTAGCTTCCTGCAGCTAAATTAAGTGGGTGGTCTCTGAACAGAAGTTCAAAATATAATACGCCAATAGAAAACGAGATCAAAGCTCCAAAAGTTTGCTTTATTAAGCAGGTGATCTTAAAATGGGTTTCACTACAACCACATGTCATATTCTATACCCAGAAGTCTCTGGCCTCCTGGGAAAAAAGATAAACAAAAGTGAAACACCTTCTTCTGTAACATTTCTAACCCAAATCCTGTATCTTGCTCATAATGAGGCTTTAAGAAACTTTTCACACTTGAAGTAGGAATTCCTAGAAACAAAATTGGGTGATAGTTGAGATTTCACAAGAAGGTCTGGTCTGCGAGAGCTCCTGTCACTTGGCTGGCAGGAGGCTCACCCTCCCCTGCTCTCACTGCTACATTTTCATGTGCAAAACAAAGGGGTGGGCCAAGCCAGACACCCTCCCACTGCGGTCAGCAGGTCCCCTCCACTTTCACCCTCCTCCTCAAGACCGCCTGGGTCTCTGCAGTCCGTCTCTAAGGGTCGGGTCACCTTGCCATGGTGAGATGCACCTTCTAACAGAGACTCACTCTGCATTCAGAACCAGGTGTGCATGGCTTGCTGAGAACAGGTGTCGGATGGTGTGGTGTGACAGCCCACATCATGTGACTGCTTCTGGGTGGCATTCTGAAAGAGCACGGGCTCTGCCAGGAGGGGGCCCCAGTGCAGAGTCCCAGCTGTGGCTCCTCTAGGTGCTTGCTGTGGGACAGGGTAATAATTTCCCAGAGCCCCTGTCTCCTCTGAGGTGGGTCTGGCCTGGTCTTCTGGCAGGGCAGGACTTAGGTGAGGACCACATGGCAGGATATGCTCAGCAGGCTGGCCCAGGGCCTGAGCCTCACGCCCCCGTGCCCTTCTCCAGGGGGCCTAATTCTGGGACTGTGTAGCTGTACCAGCAGGAGAAATGTCCTTGCTCGCATAGCCCTGACTAGGTGCACACAGCTGACCCCACCCATTCAAATCAGCATTGACTCTGCCTACACCAGCACCGCCCCACCCACTCTCACCAGCCTGGACTCTGTCCACACCAGTACTGACCCCACCCACACAAGAGCTGACCCCACCCACTCACCAGCCTTGACCCCACCCATAGCAGCCCATTTATACCAGCACTGACTCTGCACACCTTCACTAGCACTGACTCCACCCACACAGTACTGACCTGCCCATGGTAGCACTGACCCCTGTATTGACCCCGCCCACACCAGCAAGGACTCCCAGTTGGCAGGGTCAGAGCTAGGGTGAGTAGTCGTATTTGGGAGGGAGGGGCTTTGCCTCACTAGTGAAACATTAAAAAGAGCCATCAGGCCTAACAAGGCTTTTAAAAAATGTCTGTTTGTTCCTTGCAACTAGTAAGGCTGATTTTCTGCTGTGCAAAAACTTGTGACTGTTTATTTTAAAAGCCTGCTGACCCTCATGCCACTGTGAGGCCCAGTAGGTTCTGTTTACCCATCAGTAGAAATTTCTCAATGGATAGGAAAAGGGAAAAAACGAGGCTTTTGCAGTTGGCTTCCAAATGGTGCAGTGGCCCAGCCTGACACTGAAATTGAGCACCTGTGACCTGTGGGCAGGCTGTCCTCAGCTTTAAGGCCTGTGACCTCCAGAGAAGCCCCGCGTTAGCTTGTCTGTGGAGCGATTGCTGGCGGATCAGCTTCCCTTTTAAACCTGTAATCCATCGAGCTGCTGTCTGACTGCAGCCTTTCCTTCTCCCAGAGGCTCTCCTTGCTTTGTCATGGGGCATACAGAAAGAACTTGCTCCCTAGACCTGCCAAAGGAGGACTGAATCCCATCTGCAGAGCTCGAGCGAGACAGCCATGGCTGATATCCTGCCCCAAGACTCGCTCGTCTCATTGCAAGGAACGCTAGGACAGGCCACCCGGGCACAGCTCTTTTGATTTCTTTTGTGCTGTACAATTGCCTTTGTTTAATCTTTAAGGTAAAATCTTTGGTAACCATCACCTAACGGTGTCATTGGATTTGAGGAATCAGAGCAAATGTTGCCAAAAAACATCTCCAGGTAGAGGGGACAGATTTATTAGCCAGACGTTGCTTGTGTTTTAAGTTGGTCACTATGTTTGCCATCTGGCCAGGAGTTGGTTCATGTTCTTGTGGATAACATCCATATATTCCCCGATCCAACCATCCTCTGAGAATCTCCCGTCGGCTTCATGTAGGGATTAGACCTGACTCTAGGCAGGAGGAAGGTGTGCCACCACCCTGGCTGGGAGTGCATGGTGTGGTGGGTGTGTCTCTGCCCTACTTTACCTCCCCAACCCCACGGTGCTGTCACAACACAGCTTTGTGTGTTGGACACATGGGTGTGCACGTGACTGCATGCGTACACGTGTGGGTAGTGTGCTGTGACCGTCCACAGGCACTGGTGACGCACATTTCTCTTGGACTTTGTAGATCTATCAGATTATCATTGACAGACCAGCACTATTGCGATGGTAGTACAACTGCAGGAATTTAAAACATTCCCTACGGTGGCATATTTTAAGTCAAAGATAGTGGTCTTACAGAATTATGTTCCTTAATAATTGTGGGTGAACCTAACTTCCTATGATCTTTTCATCTGCTTGGTGGGGAATTCAAATCTTCTTCTGAATTTTTGTTTTTCTAGAATTCTTGATTTGGACCTGGTGGTTAGAGATGAAGATGGGAACATTTTAGATCCAGAACTAACTAGCACAATTAGTCTCTTCCGAGCTCATGAAATAGCCTCTAAACAAGTGGAGGAAAGATTACAAGAAGAAAAAGTAAGTTCGTCTGTCTCTGTATTTTGCCATTCACACGTGGGCAGCATTTTTCAGAAAGCGCTTTCAGCAGTGGAATATCAAGGGGCTCAGACTTGGCTCTAAAGAAGAACCTGAAAAGGAGCATTGGCACAGTGTGTTTCCAACAAGGATGAAAGGAATGTGCCCGGGGCAGGCATGCGGCTGAGGGCACGAGGGGATTTCATGCCTGCGGGGGAATGTGCAGAGCATCGTGCTTCACCAGGGAGGATGGGAGCCTAGTGGCCTTGACTGTGGAGTCATCTGTCAGATGGGAGATGATACCATTTAAATTCTGCATCTGATTCTGCATTTCCTCTCTGACAACAGTAGGGGCGTGACATCAGTAGGGGCGTGACATCTAGCTTGATGAGGGTGGAGAGCACCAGTTGGGTCGATGTTTTCATCTCTCTGTTCTGTGATGGTGTCATGTATGTGGTAGATATTCAGAAATTGATGGCTTGATTTGCTCATCAGTTAATTTGGCAAGTATTCATTGGGCATCTAGTCGTTTGCCAGATACCAACGACATAATGAAGAATGACAAAAAAATGTCCTGGGAGTGTTTATTCGAATGAGGGAAACATTAATTAGAATGTGCAACTACACCTGTGCTCATCATTTCTAGGTCATTGATTGGACACTTAAAAATTCTGTCTCTGAAAATACTCAGCATATTGATGTGAGATCGGGGTCATTGCATAGGGTGCTGTTTTTTTCTGAAACGTAGGACCATGGTTTGAGAACTCGTGGGGGCAGGGAAAAGATAACATGAATAGCCTAGCTGACTCAAGCCCACTTCTCCTGCACCTTTTTCCATGCTGTAGAGGATATTAAAAACAAACAAACAAACAAACCCAAAAAACAAAGATTATTGATGAATATTGCTTATGTCGACTTTCTTTTCATTGACAGTCTCAGAAGCAGAACATGGATATCAACAGACAAGCTAAGTTTGCTGCCACCCCTTCTCTGGCCTTGTTTGTCAACCTCAAAAATGTGGTTTGTAAAATAGGAGAAGACGCTGAAGTGCTCATGTCTCTCTACGACCCTGTGGAGTCCCAGTTCATCAGGTGGGGCTCCCTGCTGGTTAGGGTCTCTCCTGTGTGAGGAAGGTGGTCTCAGAACCACCCAGGTGGCCCTCGCTTGCCGAGAGCCTGTGAGCAGAAAAGCTACCTGACCCACCCTGAGTAGCCAGGCCCTGGGCCCTCTCTGGGCAGTGTGAGGGCAGCTCGGCTGGGCTCTGGGCTGGGCAGGTTTTCTTGCATGTGTGCTGCTGTTTGCTTGTGGAGGTGCAGGGATTTCAGGAACACTCGTAATGTGATAGGGACTGGGCTGAAGCACTGTTTTCTACACTGTCACCACAGGACTTTGTATGTTCAGACCCCCAAAAGTCACATTTTCCTTTTCCAAACCTTGGAGCTTAGAATGTCATTTTTGCCACTTCTGTCCTACTGCGGTTTCTCCAAGCCAAGAGGCTGGAACCCAGTGTCTGGATTGGCACCTGCTGTATGCTTGCTCACCGTTAGCATCTGCTCAGAGAAAACACTGTAAATCGCCTGTTCTTGCTCGGCCCACAGTATAACTTCCTCTCTATCCACATGGAAAAATGAGGATTAAACTCTGTGGAAGTTGGTGTGAGTCTGTGAGTATTAGTATTTTCACTTGTCCTATTCGGAATTGAAAAATGTGGTGTGTGAATGAAACAGAGCAGATGGGTGGCTTTATTCTCACTTCTGATGGACTCTGTTTCTTCTTGATGTCAGACAGTAGGTATTTCACAGCACGTTTTGTTTGTCATATACACGTCATGTGTATGTGTGTACACAAGTTCATCTCTCTCTGTATGCATGTGCACGTATGTGTAGTACAGACCTTGTGTTGAACTTTATACTAGTGCCATTCTAAATTGACAAATAGGCTTTTCAGAGTATAAAGTTTGAAATGCCATTTGTGATGGTTCCATGACATTAAGCCCAAGAAGCTTGGAATGCAGCCCTCCACGGTGTTTTGTGGTCCGTGTCTGCTGCTGGGTCACGCTGACGTTGGTGTTTATAGACCCATGGTTGCTCTATCGTCGACTTCCAGAGTACTAATTATGAGTCAGTGTGGTTGTGCGTGGAAAATTAATTTGCTTTTATTTCTTCTTTTTTCGAGTGAGAACTACCTGGTCCGCTGGTCAAGTTCAGGATTACCTAAAGACATAGACAGATTGCACAATCTGCGAGCCGTGTTCACTGTAAGTGTGCCTGCAGGCGTTCAGCGGACCATTCTCCGTCCTGATACTGTTCTGAGCGACTTCCCTACAGCACTAGCACATGAATCTGGGGGGGACGCCTGGAGTCGAGGTTAATCTGGGATGAGTAACATGCCTTCTGGGACCTTCTGAGTCTCTAGCTGCCCTTTGAGTCACTGTAACAGAGATTTGCCCCATTACCGTGGAGCACGTCTCTGAAACTTCGATCTCAAGTTCCCTTAACAGTCACTGACTATTGTTATTCAATCACGTTTCGTCATGGGACTAGCACTGAAATGCTGGACGCTGCTCTGGGAAGGGAATCTCTGTGTCTTCACTGTCCTTTTCAATTGGACTTGCATTGAGTAATGGTTCTTCAAAATGATTTATGGAAATTAATATTTCTAGGACCTTGGAAGCAAAGACCTGAAAAGGGAGAAAATCAGTTTCGTCTGTCAGATCGTCCGCGTGGGTCGCATGGAGCTGAGGGACAGCAACACAAGGAAGCTGACCTCGGGGCTGCGGCGACCTTTTGGAGTGGCGGGTAATCCATTTCCCTCTTTCTCCTTGAGAGTTTAAGATCATCACCTTCACTTTGACCAAGAGCCGCTGTTGAACTCTGGGCAGTGGGCAGCTTTGATTTATAGGCTTTTCTGGTGGAGAGAAAAAAAATCCGTCATCCTTTTTCTGGGTGGTTTTAGTCCACCTGTAAGCTCCGGATGCTGGGGTGCCTGAGTTTCAGATGTAAATAGAACATATTTGGTTGAAAGCAGATCGTGTCTTTTCCTCAGAGAGACCCTGACCCATTTCCTGGCCCCTGGAGAAGCTGGGCACTGGCAGGGGTCGGGTTCAAGATTTCTGGACTTGGCGGTTGGTTCAGGAGTGGACTGGCGTGGACAGGGTCATGAGGAGGAGAGTCAGGCACCAAGCCCACAGGGTCTGCTGGACACAGGGCCTTTGGTGTTTTTTAACCCTTCTTAATTCTAAATCATGTGTGGTTGTTTTTGGTGACATCTCAAGACAAGCAAGACCAGTCATCTCTGTTGTGGAAAGTGTCCCCGGAGGTTCTGATGTCACTTTAAAAAAATAATTTTGGAAAGTGATTTTATGGTCATAGGGAATTCCTTACCCAGCTCTTGAGGTGTGTTCACGTCCTTTCTGTGATGTTGGGGAATCATATGAACAAGTGTTTGGGAACATCTCGATCCCTGGCACCCAGCTGGAACACGTTCCTTACCGTGACCAAGCATCCCAGAGCTGAGACTTTTCTCCTCTTGGAATAGACTTTATTTTTAGAGAAGATCTAGGTTCAGGTAAAATTGGGCAGAAAATGGTTCTCACATACCCTCGCCCATCCTCAGCATTTCCCCCCTTTGCTGTGTTCGTCCGACCGTGAACCTACAGTGGCATGTCACTGTTTCACCAGGTCTGGAGTTGACGTGGCTGTCTGATCTTGGTGTTGTGCATTCTGGGGGTTTTTACAGAGGAATGATGTCCCATGTCCACCAGAACAGGACCATGGAGAGCAGTTTCACTGCCTTAAAAGTCCTCTGTGGGGCGGGAGTTGTCGCTCAGTGGTGAGCGCTTGCCTCACATGCACGAGGCACTGGGTTCGAGCCTCAGAACCACATAAATGTAAAATAAAGATATTGTGTCCACCTGAAACTAAAAAATAAATATTAAAAAAAAGTCCTCTGTGGTCTTGAAGTTTTTAGAGAAATAGATCAATTCTTTAAACAAATGATTCCTACTTCATAAAGAGTGATGAACGGCGAGAGGCCAGGTGACTGGTCTGCTATTGGAAGCACCACGAGGAAGTTCACTGCTTATGAGTGAAACGTCAGGGTGGGTTGCCTCGCTGAGACCCCGGGGGGACTGGCATGGGGCATGTCACATTCTCATCCCTTATGGCTCGAACACATGTTTTAAAATTCTTGCTTTATCTTTCAGAGCCTGTAGCACCTTTCCCGTGTTTAGTTGAGATGCCTGTAATTTTTCAGAAGTTTGCATTTTCTTTTCTCCTGCTATGGTATTCTTTTTGTGTGTGTGTGGTGCTGGGGGTTTTACTTGGGGCCTGTGCATGTGGGCAAGCACTCTACCAACTGAGTAACTGACCTATGTCCTAGCCCCGGCCCATGTTTGTTTTAAGAAAATATTTTATTTTGTCTTAGGTGTATTAGGCTTCCCTGAAGCAGTCAGAGGAAACTTTGACAAGTTATGTAACTCACGCCTCTTTCCAGCATGGATGCCGGGGGTTCTCTTGTTCTTAGATACCAGAGAGTGTGCTGCAGAGTTCTCATGAGAACACAGCGAGGTTTGGGATGCCAAGACGAAGTCTCGATGGAGACTTGTGGTCCTCCCCGCCTTTGGTTAAAACTGGAACATCTTCAGCTTTCGGCATTTGAGTCTTGACATTTGGAATGTCCTAGGGAGTGAGGGCTGGGGATCTCGCTGTGGCCTCGCTGTTCAGAATGTGCTTGATGGTGCGTGGTGGGGTCTGGTGTCAGGTCACAGCCCCCATCTCCGAGGCTTCTCTGGGAGTTGCTGAAGCCCAGGTGTACCCTGCCCTGACGTGGTGCCCTGTCCCCGGGAGCCTTTCCTATGTTGTGTCTACAGAGACATGGCCGGTGTCTAGGCCCTGGAGCGTGGGCCACTGGCTGCAAGGCCTCCACCGCCATGTGCCTTGATTCATGGTGACTCTCCTGTAGCCCCTCGCTCCTCCCGTCGACCCTGGTCTTTGGCTTCTTCCTCTTCTGTCTTGTGTCCTGGTGCTCACTCACTGTGGGCTGTTGGAAGCCTGCCTGGGCCATCCCTAGCTTCACTGGCCTGTTTCTGCGCGTATTCTCTGGAGCATGGGCTCTCCTGCTATTCTGGTCATGGGGCCCTTGTCCTATCTGGTGGGACACGTCAGGCCTGGGCCTGTGAAGGTTGGTTCCAGGGGCTCCCAGCAGGGCCTCTGCTCCCTCTGCTGTCCAGCAATTGCTTGCTTACTTGGCTTCTGGTTCGCCTGGGTCCTAGCATGAGCACTGTGGCCTCCAAGGTCACATCAGAGGGCCGGGTTTTAAGGACCTCTTGGCTGGTATGTTTCATAAGTACTGTTAAGAACCGGAGCCTCTGCTTGTCGAGTTTCCAGGTTCCTATGGCCACTGTGCCCTGGGACAGGGGTGATGCGTTGTACCATGTGACTTGGCTGTGTAGATTTTTGGCACAATACGTGGCTACCAGCTGCCCTGTCCCCCTCGTTCCGTGCCATTCTTCAGTGTAGCTGGGGTGCAGGCTTCCCACCCCTGCAGCTCCGTCCCCAGCAACACCTTTTCCCGGAGGACAGAGCCCTCTCATAGCTGAGGAGGGCCTTGGACTTGTGTTCACCGTGCTCTGCCCAGATCTACAGGAAGACTTAACCCTGCTCATCTGTGCAACAGCACCCAGCTCCTGGAGAGAAGCGTGCATGGACTTTAGGCCTGTGTGTCTTGTCTTGTATTGGAAATAATGTGTCACATTCTTTGTTTTAAACCTTTTGGTAATGTGAAAGTGATAGGCAATTGTAGGAAATTATGGAAATTTCATTGAAGAGAAACCTAAGCATAATTGAATAAATCATTCCTAATTTTCCACAATCGGAAGTTCTTCAGGGTTATTCTGGCATGTTTTTTTAATTTCTTCTTTTTTTTTCTGTGTTTGTGGTCCATAATTTTAAAAAATAATATCGGGTCAAACAAGGGCTGAGGGTGCAGCTCAGATCAGAGCACACGTTTGGCGTGTGAGGGCCTTGAATCCCTAGCACCAGGTGGACACATCTGATCAGAGACCTATTGTTGGCCTTTTGGTGGTTTTTTTTTTTCTTTTTTCCATTCCTCTTTGGTCTCGGGCTTTGTCCCCAGGCTGGGGCTCGAGGGCCTGAGGCGAGGAGCAGGAGGAGGGCTGATGGGTGCCAGGGCAGGCGGCCTTCCTACCAGGGCTGCTGGGCCTAGTGTGTGCAGACTTGGGCACTGGGGACAGGGCAAGGGGTCAGATGGCTGGGGAGGCCCATCAGCTGGTGAGTTGAGCCAGGTGACCCTGGAGAGGCACACGGCAAGGCCACCCCTGTGGCTGGCGTGCAGGTTCAGACTGACTTCTCTCTGCTCGTGCCTGCTGAGTGAGCTTCCTTTCATGATTCTGAATGGTGCTAAAATGTCTCCATGCACAGATGGGCATCTTAGCATTGGTCAGTGCTGGATGTAGTCCAGTCACCACAGACAGTGCCCAGTGCTGGCACAGCCTACCAGGTGGGCCTTGAGCTCCGGCCGTTCACCTCCTGTGCAGCTGCTTCTCGATGGCTGATGTACTTGGGCTCCTTCCACCTGCATCTGCGCGGCTCTTCCACCTGTCGTCCCACTGGTGCAGTAGGACACACTGCACAGACCCCTGGGGCTCCACCAAACCCAGCAAGAGATGGACAGCAGGGCAAGCAAGGGCTGGATGGCAGGGCTTCCATTTGCCCGGCAGTCCCGGAGCTCTTTTGGGGGGGGGCGGCCGTGTAGAAATGAACATGGTCTCCACTTCAACCCGGGATGCTGGTCACCAGGGGAGGACTTAAGTTAGGAAAGCAAACAGGTGCACTGCTCTCTTATCTTTAGCCAGGTGTGGGGGATGAGGCGGAGCACAGGGAAGGTGCCCAGTGCCCTCTGGGGCTGCTCTTGGCTCTTCTTGGTCGGCCTGTCGTGACCGAGGCAGGAGGCAGGCAGACGGTGGGCTTGCACAGGGAAGGTGCCCAGTGCCCTCTGGGGCTGCTCTTGGCTCTTCTTGTTCAGCCTGTCATGACCAAGGCAGGAGGCAGGCAGACGGTGGGCTCCTGTTCTGGTTAGTTCTGTCTGTGGCTGCGGTTTGCTCAGCTGGATGGTTTGTGGCTGAGGATTCTCTGTGAGTGTCCCCCTCGCATTGGCACCAGCATGTGGAGGCCCCTGGTAGATGGTAGCCCTGGCTGATTGTGTTATTATTTGGGATGTTATTAAGGGTGGGTAGCCACTTGGCACGTGTGGATATTTAAGTTATATTTAAATGAGTAAATCAAAGATAGCATTTGGCTGTCTGTCCTTCCTGCACTTCTCGATGCCCCTTGTTCCACAGAACATCCTCACCGCCGATGTCTCGGAATCTGCAGCTCTATTGGCCGGTGGATGGTGGGTGAGGGAGGGTCAGGGGACCTCCACCATTCCGCTCCAGCCCTACTGGACCACCCTGTGAGATGACCTCATGTCTTTCAAACAGGGCAGTCTTTAGACTTGAAGCTCCGGTGATGGTTGGTCAGAACATTTTGATGGTCCTTGGTTGGTGGACTTCCTATGATGATTGCACTGAAGTAAGACAGTCTCTGTTCTTTTCTCGTCCACAGTGATGGATGTAACCGATATAATAAATGGAAAAGTAGACGATGAAGATAAGCAGCATTTCATTCCCTTTCAGCCGTAAGTATGGAGCGGTCCAAGCCCGTCGCCACCTGCAGTGTGGAAATCCTGTTTGTAGTGATCAATCACCTTCGTGATGACGTTATACGTGAAGCCCACAGAGGGATAGATTGTTTCACAATCATAAAAGATTTGCGTAGTCACTGCCACAGCACATGGAATTTTTGGTAGTGATAGAATCCTGGGTAAAAGTTGGTGTATGCTTCTGGAAGTAGATTCTATATGTGTTCTCTGAATTTCCTTATCAGAAGAATTACAATTCCACTCTGAGTGTGGATGTTTCTTTACATAATTGATTTATTCTGGTGGCAGTTTGCACTTTCCAAATACAATACTTTCAAATTCATCACAAGAGGTTTGCTGTTTTTAAAATAGAAAACCAAACACAATGATGATGAATTCCTTTGTAAAGTGAGGAATAGGACTTTGCAGCATGTGGTGACCCTGCTGATTTTCCCATCCTGGTTTCTGCTCAGGGTCTACGGGTGCCGGGCACTTCTCTGTCTCTGGAGAGGTGCCTGGAGCATGGGAAGGCACTTGAGGGAAGTGCCTTTGGTGGAGTCTCTGATGTGAAGGGACTGGTGGTGTTTGGTGACAGAAGCAGATGAGGCCCAGTCAGGGTCTTTGGCCACCCCAGGGACACTTCTGCTTCAGGAAGGTGGGGCAGGAAGTGGAACACTTAGGTAAATGGTGAGACGGCCTCCCCTAGCTTGCCAAGTCAGACTGAACGGTGCAGGTGGGTGACCTGTGGGGTCCTCTCTGTCCTCTTTCCTCTTCATGTTTGTTTTTCTTTAAGGGATCTCACACTGGAGACAAGTTTCATTTCACAAAGTTCACATCGTTTCCAGCAGTCGGTGGAGGGGCTTTGGGTGGCTGGGCAAGTGGCTGTGGAAGGAGCCCTGTCCTGGGTGGAGGAGGAGGACTGTGGCTCCCTGTGCACCCCGCAGCCTTCCTGACCCACGGTTGGGCTGCACTCCTGGCACACGCTCCCTGCGCAGGCAGGTGCTCTGTCCAGCAGCTTCCGAGGCTCTTGCAGTGCCCAGTGGAGGCCTTTGCAGCTTCCTGGACAGGGGGGATGACAGAGCCGCTATGTTCCCCAGCTGCAGCTCGGTCCGGTGGCACATCTTCCCAGCACAACCGCAGGCAGAGGGCTTTGGGGACTTGAATGCTTTCAGTTCACTTTTCTGTCTAGTGTGATAACTACTAGCCCCGTGTGGCCATTTAAATTAATTAAAATTAAATAGAATTAAAACTTTAGCTTCTCAATCACATTAGTTCCATATCAGTGTTCAGGCCCCCCCGCCCCTGGGCTCGCGGCTGCCGTGCTGGGCGCGTGGAGCACGTTCCCACCTCTGCAGGGAGCGTGGCTGGGTCCTTACCTCGGGAGCCCACCAGTGAGCTGGCTCATGAAGGCAGAGCCCTGCAGTCTGCAAGCTTCCTCAGCAAGTGAGGCCACCCAGTGCAGGTAACATGTAGACGTACTTTTGTGAAATCATGAAGTTAAGGGGCTTGTTGTTCCCCTGAGAAATAATGGGGCCCCTGCTGTTTTGATTGCTGTGTGACATGTCAGCTTCCTGAAGCCCCAACGCTCTGCTAAACTAAGGTGACTTGTTGCTGGCTAGTGTGCTCTGGGGTGCCCTATTTGAGAAGTTAGAGTGGAGTTTCAAGTTTCTAGCCTTCACAGGCTGTGCCGTAAGCTCCCGGAGCTGGCCTGTGCATGGCGCCATCTTTTTTATCTTGTAGTGAACGTCGATTTTAAGAAATATGATTACATGCTTATCTCTTATGTAATTTGTGACTCCTTGCTCCATTAAAGGAAGACTAATATACAGATTAATATTTGCAGTGTTAGAAGCAAAAGAGCAGCCTGATTTTAATAGCAAAATAAGCAATGAAACCAGTTCTTTGGGAAATGTCATGCTAATGAAACCGTTTTTTGCTCCATTAAAACTGATTTATTATCTCACAGGGTTGGTTTTAGGGATGGAAGCGCAGTGCACATCTTTCCCTCGCTCCCCCTCTCTCTTTCCTCTCTCTCTTTCTCTCTCTCTCTTCTTTTACTTGGTGAAGTAAATTAAAAACAGCCCTCATCTCCTGTGAGTTATGTGGCTTGGGTGATGGATAATGGCGAGCTTGCTTCAGAATTGATTTTGGACACTCTGCACATGGTGTCTGTTTCCTTCTCATTTCCTCTTGGGCCGGGCGGGGGGTACAGGATTTTCCTGCTGGCACCTGCTGCCTGCTCAGCTTCCCTCTCCTTCACTGCAGCCCTGTGGACGGCTCCCTGTTCTGGGGCCCGACCTGCTGGTTTGCATTCCTAGCCATGTCCCGGCTTCCCTCCCCGATGTGGCTGTCACCGATTGTGTTCCCTAAAGTGTACTCCCCGTCTCACGTGACCTCACTTGGGGTCTGTGGAGTGCAAGAGGGGCAGGTTGGGAAGCTTCTTCAAGCCATGAGGTTTCGGGGGTCTCTTCTTGAGCGGGGCGGGGGCTCTTGATTTTGCTTTTCCCTTTGTGCCACCTGCCCCGTGACCCAGGCTGTGTTTGGAGTTAGTGAAGTTGGAGAAGTGGCTGTGGGGGTGCCTTTCAGTCCCCTGGCCCTCGGACCAGCCCTTCAGTGGTCCGGGGCCCCTGAGCCGCGGCTGGTGTCCTGGGGAGCGGGCGCCTTGGTTGGCCTGACTTCTCTCTGGTTCAGCATTTCCTGATCGATGCTTTTCCCTGTTTCTCTTGTCACCTGCCCTCTGTCTCCCACCCTCTGTCCTGCGTTGACTCATGACGACCCTCTGGCCCTCGGGGACGCTGCCCTCTTGTGTTCCCTTGTTCCCGGGACCCACGGGTCTTCGTGCCCTTTGTCTCCTGTGGTCTTGCTCGTCCCGTGCCCTCCAGGCTCGCGTTGGACGACGCCACCCGACACAAGCCGCTCAACATGTCATCCCGTTTTTCACCCAGGGTGGCAGGGGAGAACGACTTCCTGCAGACTGTCATAAACAAAGTCATCGCTGCCAAAGAGGTCAACCACAAGGGCCAGGGTACGTATCTCCGTTTGGTTACCGTTGCTGTCCACCTCTGGGGGTGTGGACGGTGCCGTCTGGTTTGTGTGTCAGCTCGACGTGGTGGTGGCAGTGGTGACAGTGCCGGGACTGGAGAGCTTGTCTCCAATGCATGGCCCCTGCAGTGTCCTGCTGGTCACCTTCCTGAGTACCACTGGAGGCCAGCCTCCCGAGGACAGCGAGGACTGGTCTTTTCTTGAGTGCGGCACGGGTTCTTGCTTTGCTGGGCCAACACCGGGTTTCCTCCCTTGGTCCAGCCCTTCCTCTTATCCGCCCTTGAACAAAATCCTTCATAGGGTCCCCACCCGCGGGCTGCAGCTCCCTCTTCCCTGTAGGGAAAAGGGGCATTGGACACCGCCCTCACCCCCAGGCATGTGCTCTTGTCCTCTGTATCATGGCCCCTGTGGAGTGCAACTCACTGCCTGGCTATTTTCTAGGGCCGCCCCTTTGTCCCCTGGGAAAGTGGCTTTGTTTGATGGACTGGCACCCCTCCCTTCTGTTTGCTCAGTTATCCTCCTTCCCCCTCTCTGTCCCACAAGCACCAACATTGACCCCACACTGATGTGTCCAGGAGCTGCCCTTCTGCTGGCAGAGCTGGCCCCTGTCAGCTTGGGTGGAGACACTGGGCCCTCGGTTTGGCCAGGAGATGACCATTGGAGGAGCCTGCCTCCTGCCCCGGGGGAAGCACCTTTGTAACCTGGGTCTGACCTGCCCCACACAGGTGGGAACGTCCTCACGTCAGTCCTGGATCACCTGGGCAGGGCTGAGGGAGGGCCTGCCTCCCTGTCCAGCTACCTACGGTCACCAGACCTCCAGAATAGCCGTGCCAGCTCTCAAGGAGAACGTTGACCCATTGGAAGAGTGTTCTGGAGAAATGGGCCCTTAAGGGCTCTGTGAGGACCCTGAGCTGGTGGAACCTACCCATTTCGGCCCACAACAGCAGCGAACCAACCCCCACCCTGAAAGTTAATCCTGAGAGTTCATGAACATTTAAGCTGACCCAGGCCTGGTCCCTGGTAAATGACCAGCCATGGCAATATGCACTTTAATTAAAAACCACCCAGTAGGGGTCTGGTCCAGCTGTGGAGATTGGAGCTGCACAGGCTGGGTGCTGGGGGCAGGCCCTGGCTGCTCGTCCTCCCTGGCCCTGGAGCAGGCCCTGTGGACCTCCAGGTTCTCTTTCCCTGTCGTCTGAGCTTCGGTCAACATTTATGACAAAGTCACCCAGGAGAAGTGGAGATGGTTTCAGGCCAGTAGGAAACTACTCAGAAAGATGCCCGGAAGCCTGCCTCTGTCAGGTTCACGGCCAAAATCCATGAAGCCAGAGAGCGACCGGGCTGGTACTTGGTGCCTGCACCCTGGGAGGAGGGGCTGCTCCAAGCCACAGCTGGAACGGAGAGGAGACCCTCAGACCGCGGTGTCTTCCCGAGTCGGAATGCCCGGCAGCCTCCTCACTGAACCTTTTCCTGGCCCGCCCAGGTGAACCCTGCTCGTTCCAGAGAGCACTGAGAGAGATGGTCCAGGGAGTGCCCCTGAGCCCGCCGCTGGGTCTGTTGGGCACGGCTGGGTGTCTGTTTTTCATCAGTCCTGACCAAGGTTGGCCCTGATCCTGCTCACCTGGGTCCTGGCCAGGTGCCCACACAAGGAGCAGGGAGGAAACACTGATGTACAAAGCCGGGAGTATTTCATGCCCAGTATCCTGGGCGCAGGTCCCGTGGCCCTCGTCTCCTGGGCACACGCCTGGGGCCCCTGTCCCTCGGGCTCCTGTCTTGGGGTCTTGGTCTGTTCTAGGTTTCATCAATGTGTCCTTGTCACCAGTGACACAATCTTTTATAATCAACCCAAATTATTCTGACTCCTGAACCCGAAGGTACTGGGGGTTTGAAGTGGACAGTGTCCCCCGCCCTCCCCCACACACCCCTGCTTCCCGTGTTTGAGACCTGTTGGTGCTCCTTCTTTTCATTTTTAGTTATTCTGATGAAGCAGATGTCAACCCCAAATGTGCTTTTTCTTTGATGAATATTGGCCTCGTATTCTCTTGAGGAAGGTGTTTTTAGAAAAGCTCAATATAACCAAGAACATTCAGCCTCCCTGTTTAGATGGTGGTGTGACCCTTGAGTCCGGTCACTGGTATTTGAGTTTGTGAGCTCAGATACTTGAGTGTCTGTGAGCAGGGAAAGGTGCTGGAGAGGCAGGGCTTCTCATAATAGCACGAATGCTCTTAGGTGTGGTCTCCTGGACGGGTGACGGTGCCGGGACACAGAAGAGGGAGTGCTCGGCCCCTGGAAGGGCTGTCTGCATAATTTTTCTGCAGGGCCAGAGCTGGTGCTAGTTCAGGTGCTTTTGTGTGAATTAGTGCAAAGCAGGAGACGCAGTGAGTGCCAGGGTGGATCGTGGGCTCCTAGTCACCTTTCTTGGTCCATTACCATGTGCAGTGCACGTCTGGAGCCCTGGGACATGTGCCTCTGTTTGGGTGCCATCCCCTGGTGGGTCTTGGGGGCTTTCTTCCGTTGGCTCTATTTCCCTCCTTTGACAAACTCTGTCTCCCATAGACAACGCAGACGCACACAAGGACACCCACAGGGCCCCAGGCACAGACACACAGTAGGAGCACACCTTGATACCGTGGTGGCTCATGGGTCCCCCAGAGCTGAGCAGCTGGGGAGCAGCAGGCCAGGCTCCGGGCCTTGTGTGAGCACCTCAGTGTGCCACGGGCAGTGACGCTGCCTTTGCACCTAGGGAACAGGCACTGTCCTTGACAGCAGCTGCTGCGTCTCCTGCCCTTGACGCATGAGCCTCTGCATGTCCTCATGCTCCCGCCCACGGGCCTGCCCCTGGGTGTGTATTCAGGGCGCACTCCCTGTGCCCAGGCCCGTGTTCACCACACTCCTTGTGGGATGCTCCTTTGTCCTGGTGTCGAGGGCTGAAAGTCTCCTGTTCCCTCTGGGAGGCAAGAGCTCAGTGGCAGCCTGAGCATTGTCCTGAGCTATGACAGTGTCTCCGTGGCCCCCGCTCTGCAGCTCACTGCGGCGAGAGCTGCCAGTGCCTTATGCATCCAACTCTGAGTCCTTGCTGGTGGCCTCTCTGGGGTTCTGGGAGAGGTCAGCCTTCTGGGTCCATTCCTAGTCCATGCTCCTTCTGGTTTATCTCACATGCATATTGATTCAGAGGAGCCATTGGTCCTGGGCACCTGTGGGGGGGTGCATAGCTGCTGGCCCTGGGCACCCATGGGGGAGGGCCCAGCCATTGGCCCTGGGCACCCATGGGGGAAGGCAGAGCCATTGGCCCTGGGCACCTGTGGGAAGCGTGAGAGCTGCTGCTCCTGAGGGTTCCCCTGTCCAGGCAGAGTTTGCCTCCCAGCTGGCAGGTCATTCCCCTGTGCTAAGTACCTCCCACCTGGACGTTGACTGTGCCTTTAAATGTTGAATTGTGAATTAAAACTCTCATTCATTGAAGTCACTGTCATGAAGTATTCTTAAAATGAGCAAGATACAATGTGACCCTGGCATCTGTTGTTTTCCCAGGTTTGTGGGTAACATTGAAATTACTTCCTGGAGATGTCCATCAGATTCGAAAAGAGTTTCCTCATCTGGTGGACAGAACCACAGCCGTGGCTCGCAAAACAGGGTTTCCGGAGATAATCATGCCTGGTAAGGACTGGCTCGTCTGGGGCTTCTGTGCACGGGAGGTGTTGCTGGTCACAAAACCACGGGGACAGTAACATGTAGCTCCGGTAGCCACAGAGGGCTGAGCTCATCTTGGTGATGTGGAAGCCCCAGGGTGGCTTTGGAACACCTGGGGGGTCAGTGGCTGTGACTGAGTGAGGGGGGATATTCACCCTGGCCACCTGGACCCCTGCTAGGAAAAGCTCCCCACAGCTGTGAGGGTCGTGTGGGAAATGCAGCAGGAAACCCAGCAGATATCTGAACAGATTTTTTGATTAAAAAGAGGAAGGAGCATTGGCAAGTGAGCCCCCAGCATGCGGCCACCATAGGCCATGCGGGACAGCAGGACTGTGCATGAGTGGCCAGTGGCTAGTGTCGGGCACCACACTAGTGCGCTCTGGTCCACTTGCAGAATTTAAGCGAGGAAACTGATGAGGGGATTTCTTGTGAGCATTAATCTCATGTTTAATAACACTGTCCAGTTTCTAGGTAGATTCATGTTACTAATCTGATTTGGTTCTCGGACCTTGGGAAGCATGGTTGATATTTACCCTTTACATCTGGGTGATACTGTTTGCTTTGTAAGCAATATTTGTGTTAATAATATAGGTTAATCCACATAAAGGTCTTGGGACACTGCAAGTTAGTGTTGAGCTAATTCTCATAAAAATTAAACCACAGCCTGAAGTCACATGGCCAACGAGTGGAGATGAGGTCCAAATGCCACTCTTGCCTGGCACACGTGGCCACTTTGGCCACCCAGCCCATTTGCTAAGACTTGTCAGGGGAAGGCAGCTCAGAGTCCTTGAATTTGGACCTGCCACGCAAACTCATGCCTGAAGTCACTGGTGGTATGTGTTGACCTCTGTGGCTCGCGAAGGGAAACCCAGGAAACCTGTGCTCTGTGGGGTTTCCCTGATAATTGTAGACTTACACAGGAAGTCTAAAACTTACCCCATGATTCTGGCAGGTCCGTGTGCTCCCTGCCTGGGGAGGTGCCCCTGGGGGAGGGCAGCTCGCTGGAGTGAGTCACCCTGTTCTCTGTCGACTGAGTGACCCTGGCCAGGCTGCAGGCACCAGGAGACAGAGCCAGTGGTTTTCAGTCAAACTCCTGCTCGCTCCTGGCAGAGCCTGAGCATCGCCCGTTGGCTTGGCTGTCTCCTGGAGACCTGGGTCATCTTGGGACAGTGGGGGAGCCAGTCACGTCACCTCATGGCCGACGTTCTACCTTCTTGTGACCTGCTGGCATCCCAGGTCCTTCTGGAGGCCTGGGTGGGAGAGCAGAGCTGTCCTTTGAGCGGGAGGGGTGGTCAGCATCTGCCCACCCCCGCTCCCATCTCCCAGCTCCCTCCTGCCCACAGAGAGCCCCATAACCCTGGGGGCGTCTGCTGATGGCCCTTGTGAACATCTGTGGGCTTCTCCTCCTGTGAATGGGGTCGGCTGGTGGGCCCCACAGAATTACTCTGCAGGTGCACCCGGGAGCCAGGTGTGGGGTTCAGCCCCTAGTCACCCCCACCCCGACTACTCCTCTGGCTGGTGTCATCTTTATGAAGCTGCTGTCCCCTTTAGTGATTGAGCTCCATGAGATCTTCAGACGGAGTGATGGCCCAGCACCCCTGCCTCACCAACAGGCCTCTTCAGGGTGGCTGTCCCAGGTCACTGCTGCTCAGTGGCCAGTCCTGGACGGGCAGCCTGGCCTCCTGCTCCCTGGCTCCTCCTTCCTTCTCTTCCCCCATGCACCCTGGCACAGTTGCAGCCGTGCTCCGTCTCCTGGCAGGCACAGTGGCTGTGGGAGTGGCCCACTGGGACTGTTATAATAATGACTTTTAAATGAAAGCTTAATTTAATAGTCAGATCCATTAAAAGGCAAAATAAATCAGTTAAACAAAAAAAATAAAAATAAAAATAAGAAATAAAATAAAAACAAGACAGCAAGAGGAGGCTTGTTCCTTAAGGTTCCTGCTCCTCGCTCTTGCTGCCCTTGATGGAGCAGAGCCGCTCTGGGCAGAGCAGGGTCAGGTGGGAGGGGCCAGGCAACAGCACAGTCACGGTCCCTGGGCCGTGATGCTTCCTCTAAATCACGTTGCCAACAGAGCTTGTGAAGTTCTCCCGGTCGGACCGTTACCAGGGGCTGCGTCCTGGGTGGGGAGAACTCATCTGTGGTGATTTTTCCCCAGAGTCAAGGGTCCGTCCTGCCTACAGTGCTCAGGTCTGTTTTGTTCTGCCCTCTTCTCTCTTGGTCCCCACTAGGGTCCAGACAGCCACTTGCTGCAAGAGAAGAGCCAAGCAGGGGAGTTCCCCGTGTGGCCCCTCCTAGTTGTCCCTGATCCCAGGCTGTAGCTCTCAGTCAGGTTTCAGCTCCTGGACTTTGGGAAGAATGTCGAGGAGGCCGCTGCTGCCACTCACCTCCTGGGTGTGCCCCCAAGGGGGCAACGAAGCCGAAAGGAACCCAACCCCCCCGGTGGGGGCCAAAGCCCATGGCCACGAAGCGGGGCAGGTCCTCGCAGCCCCTCCGTGGCATTGTAGTCACTCTGGGCTGCACTTGGAAGTGGACCAGCCATCAGCAGAGGAGAGGTTTTCTCTTCCCAGCAGGCCTTAGGACGATGACAGAAATCACCTTTGTCGTGCTTTCAAATGCCAGATTGTTCTGTAGAGAATATTTCATGATCACCTAATAGAGTATCTCTAACATTCTGCTAGGCTGGGGAGCGGGTTAGATGGTTTTTGCAAAATTCCCAGTCACACTATGAACAATGGGTTGGTATTAAAGATGTGATTCCCCCCAGGCGATGTTCGGAATGATATCTATGTGACGTTGGTTCAAGGGGATTTTGATAAAGGGAGCAAGACGACGGCCAAGAACGTGGAGGTGACCGTGTCCGTCTACGATGAAGACGGGAAGCGCCTGGAGGTACTGCTCGATGGGGGTCGTGTCTGCAGGCCCAGGCCCTGGCTCTGTCGCCCAGCTCGCGGCAGCCACTCGGGGACAAGTGTTGGTTCTTGCTCCCCTGTCTCCACCTTGCCTTGGTGTCCCTGGGTCCTGGTGCCAGCTGTCTCAGGAGATCCCTGTGGAGTTGGGCCCATGTTCTTTGCCCAGCCTTCTCAGAGAGGGTCATTTGGGGGCATCATCCTAAGCCCCTAGCAATCACTGTGAAGTGCAGACACCGTTATGTCACCTCTTCAGAAATGAGGAACCTGAGATTCTGAGGAAGAAGCAATTAGCTCAGGGTCAGAGAGCAGGTGGACGTGGGTTGCATTCTCTGACCTCTGACTGCTGCAGCCTGAGCTATGGCCTCCTGGCGCTTCCCATAGTAACCAGGATTAACTTCTGTGGGCAAAGCAGCCAGCAGGGTTCAGCTGAAAGGACTCAGGGCTGCAGCCATCTCTAATGAGTAGAGGCCAGACCAGAGCAGGTATCCGTCCAGGACCCCTGTGGACTGGGGCCAGGGAGCCGAAGCCTGGGTTTGTGTCTAGGGCTCAGATCTGAGTGGGAGTGGCTGCCTTTGTTGCTGCCCACCCTGTCTCTCCAGAAGCATGGGCCTTTGCCAGCATGGCTCCAGGTGAGGTCCACTGGACCGAGTTCATGGCTGGAGCCGGCAGGAGGGCTGCTGCTGCCTCCTTGCTCTGCAGCCCTTTACTCCAGACCTTTGAATGAGTCAGGCCACTTCCTGTAGGTCCTGATGTCAGAGGGGCTGGAGCAGGGTTGGGGTGGAGGACGCAGTATTCCCTCGTGTTTCACGACCGCCCAGGTCCTCAGTGCGTGGTCAGGGCGTCGGCTATGTGCAGAACTGTGCCTCCAGTGAGATGAGTTCACAGCACTGCAGGAGTGATCTCTCCTCCTGGGGGCCTGGTGGGAGGTGTGTGCCCGGCAGGCTCCCCGAGGTCTCACCTGAACTCTCTGCCTTCTTTCAAAGCACGTGATTTTCCCGGGTGCTGGTGACGAGGCGATTTCAGAGTACAAATCTGTGATTTACTACCAAGTGAAGCAGCCACGCTGGTTTGAGACCATGAAGGTATTATTTGCACGGTCATTTTATCACTTGGATTGATTAGGAAATGCTCATTTGTATCCCAAAGGAACCCCCACCTTCCCCCTGGCTCAAGGGGCTGCCCGCGAACAGCACCACACAGGCCGTGTGGCTCTCCCAACAAAGTCATTCTGGGTTGCTGAGGAACCACGCTGGCATTTCTCGGAATCCATTTGCTCCCATCTCCTTTGGACGTAGATATAGGGCTTTCATGGAGACAAATGACAGAGCCTTTTAAAGATAGTCGTTGTCTTTCTCTTCTGGTTCTGTTTTATGTGTGGCATGCTGCCTTGACACCAGATTGGAAAAGACAGGATGCCAGTCCATGAGGTTTTGCCAGGGAGATGGATCCCACTCCTGTGGCACTGGCACGTTTGCATAATGCAGGTCTCCCGGTCTCTGTGGTGGCCTCTGTGGTAGGCACCAGCCCACTGCCAAGAGCTGGAATATTTGAGAAGAATCCCTGGGTTGGCCCCAGAACACAGATGTTAGATGTGAGAATTAGGGGCAGTCCTTGCTTGCAGCAGCGTGGACGAGGTCTTTTTCTTTTCCCATAATGTGACAACAAGATAGCTTCCTTACTGCAGCTGTGGAGAGAATATAGATACCTTTGTGTTGGGACCAAACGTGAAGACGGCAGCGTTCAGAAATAGAATCTTAACAGTGAGGATCAGAATGCTAAAAGAAAAAACCAGCTGTCTAGCAGAGTTGGATTGGCTCCTTCCAATATTACCTTGTTTAAATTTGGAGGCATTTTGCCTTTGGAAAGATCACACAGGGGATTAGATAGACAGCGTTTGCATTGCTAGGTGAAGAAGTATTTGCACTTGTGCCCAAAGCTCCCACTGAATTAAGCTGTCTCCTTGGGAGCTGTTAGGGGAGCTGCCACCTCTCTCCTCTCCACTCACACAGGTGGCCATTCCCATCGAGGACGTGAACCGCAGCCACCTCCGGTTTACCTTCCGCCACCGGTCGTCGCAGGACTGTGAGTACTCATGCTCACCACCAGCCCCGTGTGCACAGGGCCACCTCGGGCAGGTGTGGGGGGGACTCTCCTCGCTGCACCTGTTCTGGGCCACTCCGAGACTCTGCTGTCACACCGAAGTGACGGCCCCTTAGCCGTTGCCATTTCACCTGTTGCTGGGCCTGTCTCGGGCAGACCCCGGATGCCTTCCTTCTCTTGCCCGACAAGGGCTGCTGCTCCGTAAGCCTCCTTGGCTTTCCTTTTCTCCTTTTTGACACCTAATACTGTGCCCATCAGAAATGGCATTTGATTGAATCCAGAGCCCTTTTGTCTTCCTGGCTGTCCCCTGGTATCTGGAGTTCGGCCCCAGCTCTTCCCTAGATGTGGGTGTGATACTGATGGTGTCGCCAATGCTGGAGGAGCGAAAGCCCGTGTTGGAACCTCTCCTTCCAGGGGAGTGTGCTGCTCACCTCCCACGATGTGGCCCTGTGCGAGGTGCTGAAGGGGGACCACAGAAGGCAGGCTCAGCGCTGTCCCTCGTCTGTCTTCACTCAGCACTAGCTCATATTTGGGAAAACAAGTGACAGTCGGAGGTGACTGTGGTAGTGTGTGCTGTAGAGAACCAGGGAGGAGGGTGGCCTTTGGCCCTGTGTGTGGTGGAAGATGCCTTGGGGGCCACTCAGGACGGTGGTCAGGCTCTGGCTCTGCATCTTCTCACAGGTACCTAAGCATGAGCCTCTGGTGATCATCCCTCAAGGATACGGGCACCTCCCTCCAGCAGCTCTGCAGTAGCGTCCGGCTCTGTGCTAGCTGCTGTGCTGTGAGCAGGTGCCCATCTCATTGTTTCTGGGGATCTGGGCCGTCCGCGTGGTGTAGGGTGTGCCCGGGGGACAGGACAGTGAGCAGGAGTGGAGTTCTGGTGCCTGGATATGTAGACGACTGTGAGGGCCACTGAGAAGCCCAGGCCTATGGTCACTCCGAGTGTTGAGGCCTGCAGAGCTACAGTGCTGACCACTGCCATCAGCTGACCATTTGTAGTGGCGGATGAGGCCAGGGCCTGGTTCTGCAAGGACTGGGAAGTGGCACGAGGCCCACTGTGTGGTGTCTGTGGGATGATGGCCACTTGAGCGTCACTGCGCCCCTTGCCTATCCTGCAGTGCAAACCCACCAGGGTCCAGTCAAAGGGCAGCAGGCGTCACTTTGGGTGGGAGAAGCAGGGGTGTGAAGCCTGGCCAGCCGAGAAGGCTGTGCCCTGTGGTTCAAGCTGGCCAAGTTCAGGCCCCAGGCAGCAGCTGGGGCCTCTCCTGTGTTCACACTCCTTGGATGGCAGAGGCTGAGGGTGTCACTGCTAGCAAGTGGTCAGCAGTGCCCATGCTCCCACTCTGTGCCAGCGAAGGGGTCCCTGTGCTGTTAGGGTCAGACCTCCCAAGCACTCCCTGTGCTGTCACTGTTATTAGCATGGCTTCTCACCTCACATGTGAAGAAGCTGGGACATGGAGACCCTTAGTGAGGTGGCCCAGAGTCATCCAAATGGTCAGTGGGGAGCTTTGCCCCACACCTGGACCCTTGGCTTGAGCATCCCACTCGAGTGCCTCAGGGGGGTGTTACCTAGACAGCAGGGGCCTGGGGTCCTCTGCCAGCAGGGCTTAGGTTAGTCTGCAAGAAGTCCCCAGGGAATGGCAGGGTAGGCCATGAGCTAGCGAGGGTGTGCTTTGAGGGGTGTCCTCTGAGGGGACAGGGTGTTCTCAGCCCGGGCATGGAGGCCCTGCACAGGTGAGCCCAAGGGGTGGGGAACCGGAGCAGGCCAGAGCTTGGTCGAGGGGCCCAGGCCTCTGGGGAGGGTGGGAAGGCCAGTGCAGGAGCCAGCTGAGCCCCTGGACCCACATCACCCCGAGGACATCAGGAGAGGGCCAGACTTTGGGGGCCCCAGGAGGAGACAGGGTGGACAAGAGTTGCAGAGTCCACGGAGGGAGGCCGTGTCAACCGCACACACCCCTCTCTAGCAAGCTCTTTCTCCCTGATTCATAAATTACACCAGGGCAGAGGGGTATCTTCTGTAGCATTTTAATTTTCAAGATCCCTGTTTTTCTTGTCAATTTTAAGTACTCATTATAGGCAAGATGCTATCACTCCACACACCAAGACACATTTGCATAATTAATGAAGTCTCCAAGGTCACTGCTTGTGGGCTTTGGGAACTTGTTGAGCATCACAAGTGTGGTGCTTTTGAGATGCTGGTTAGTAGCTGCTGACAGGGCCTGTGTGTGGACACCCTAGGTCAGAGGGAGGGGGAACCCAGGCCACAGGGCCCCCCGACATATCCCGGCTGCCCTTGGCTATAGAGCAGACCTAGCAGAAGGAGGGGGCGATGGGATTTCTCATGCCCGGGTCGGTGGTTGGATCGGGAAGTTTGGTGCTGATGCCATGACAGGACCCTTTCCAGTAGCCTGCTGGCTCCCTGATCGTCCACTTGAGTCACATGAACAACAGTGGACATTGTGCTGGGCCCAGCCAGAAGTAGAATGTGGTGGGTTTGACCCAGTGGGGCCCCGGGGATGGGGGTGGGGCACCCCCACAGCCCGCGGTCTCCTGCTGGGCTCCGCAGGCCTCTGTGTTGTGGGAGAAGCCGCTCAGCTCTTCTGGCGGTGGGCGAGCTTGTCCTGAGCAGCACCTGTGCTTGGACGTGGAGGTGTAGCCACCGCATGGGCGGCTCCATGTAAGCTGTCTGCCGACCCTTGCCATCAGCTGTTCTTCTAAGCCCTGGCTGCTTTCAGGGAGGCCTGTGTAATTTTTCAAGCCACCCCACATTTAGGAAGAGCCATTCTTTGCCACTTGAACATGGTATTTTTTTGGGGGGTTGTGGTATCAAGAAAGTGACTTTATTGATTCCTAGAGTACACATACTTTATCTCTGTTTCTCTGTTTTTGGTTGGTTGATCCTGTCCACCCATTAGCTGGCATTTGTTGAGCACCTACTGCATGCGAGACACTGCAGCAATGCTGAGATGCACAAGGTCCCTGATGAAGTGGGGGCTAGGGGACTCTTGAGCGCCCTACTCTAGGGAGTGTGGCCTCCCCGTCTGACGTCTGTATTTTCATCTGCAAACAGATAATTTTAAATGAGTACTTTGAGGTATTTTCTAGCTCTGGAACTCAATGTTTCTGTTCCATGTTAGGGTGACAACTTGAGGAATTCATGGCAGATGCCTTTCTCAGTGCAGATTCCTGTCTGTCCCCATCTCATGTGGCCCTGCTGACTTCTGCCTCTCCCTGTTCCACCCACCAGCCATGCTGGCCTTCTGTGCCTGCTGAGCCAGGCCTGGCCACCTGAGACCCCTGCATCAGGCCTTCTCTTTCCCTGGAAGGTCTACACCTTGCCCATGTGCTGCCCACCTCCTCAGGAAGGCCTTTCCCACCATGCCGTCAAATTGCCCGGTGCCTCTGTCACCCTCGGATAAACCACCAAGTTCTGTTTTCTTTACGACCTGAAAGAACTTGTTTGTTCTTGGCTCTCTCCCCGAGTAGGACAAATATTTATTGAGTAGCTATTGTATGCCAGGCACTATTTCATACACTGGGAAATAGCAGTTAAAAAAAAAAAAAGAATACAGTGTCCCTTACCTTCCAGGGCCCAGAGGACAAAAAACTAGCCATAAGCAAGAACAGATTCTCTCTGGCACAAGTGTGCACACATTCTGCCAGTGATAAGAATCATCATCAGATGAGAGAAAAGGGAATGATGGGGCTGCTGGTTTAGATGTGGTGTGGTCTCCTGGGAAGAGGTGACATTCAGCAGAGACTTGAGTGAAGGCAGGGTGTGGGTCCCGAGTGCGATTCCCGGGGGGCAGGACTTTCTTGGTCTTCAGTCCATCTGAGGTTTACCTGAGAAGGGGCGTGAGGTAGGGGGTCTGTTTTATTTTTCTGTATTGCCAAGCAGTTTTCCCTCCATGTAGCTGTGCCCTGTGATGGCCCTGTGTTTCCAGGACCTGTTCAATATCCTGGTCTCTGCAGCCTAATGTGAAAAGTCACCCTGCCTTCATTTCTCGGTCACTCCTGGATTCTAATACTGTGACTCTTCCGCACATTCTTCTGCAAGGTCCTCCTGCTCTTTATTCTACCGTTTTCCAGTTCCATGAAGAGTCTCTTGGTTGACTCTCATCTGGGGGGCCACCCAGCCCTTTGGGTCGAGGTCTTCTATTGGTGAACCTGGTTCGTGGCTCTGTAGCTTTCCATCGACTTTAACACCTGTCAGTACAGTTTGGTAATTGTTTCCTAAAGGTGGCCTTTGTTGCATGTTGTAATGTTATTTTGTCATAACCACAATTGAAGGTGATTATTGATTTTTTATGGCAGCTAAGGATAAATCGGAGAAGATATTTGCACTGGCCTTCGTGAAGCTGATGAGGTACGACGGGACCACCTTGAGAGACGGGGAACACGATCTGATCGTCTACAAGGTATGCGGTTCTGCCCCTGCCCTGTGGCGCACGTTGACTCTCCGTCCTCTCTGGCTTCCTGACCCACATCTGCTGCCGTTAGGAGAGAGCAGCTGGCTAGCTGCATGTAATGATGTATGTGAGCGTTTCTGATGACCAGCCCTTTGTCTGTCCCTCGTGAGAGAAGCTGATGGCAACACCTTAAGTGCTATATAAAAAGGCTGCAGAGATGAACCGATCTGTGGGAACAAGGGACATTACTAAAATACGTCGGGGAGCACCACCATCTAGCATCAGATGTGGGGTTAGGAGGGCTAAGGGTAACAACCCTGGGCAAAGCCCGCGCTTGCCTGCCTCAGGGCCGTCTGACATGCCGTGTAACGAAACCCGCAGGCCGAGGCCAAGAAACTGGAAGATGCGGCGACATACTTGAGCCTGCCCTCCACGAAAGCAGAGCTGGAGGAGAAGGGCCACTCGGCCACGGGGAAGAGCATGCAGAGTCTGGGGAGCTGCACCATCAGCAAGGACTCCTTCCAGATCTCCACACTGGTGTGCTCCACCAAGCTGACCCAGAATGGTGAGTCGGGGTAGGACTCCCCGGGATCTTTCCTCTTCAGCCCTAGTCGTTTCCCGCCTGCTTGTGGAGTGGAGGCGTTTCCTGTAGGTGTGTGTGCGTCGTTCACTCCAACCTCGGCGTGACCCACATGGACGTTGGTGCACTGGAAGGAGGAGGGGCATCCATCATGATTTAAAATTCACACTCCTATTTTGGTCCAAGGTTTGCCTTTGTGGGAGACGAAGCAGTGGACTGACTCCTTAGAATGCTTTTCAGCCAGAGGAAGGGAGCATGGCACAGGGAAAATGCAAGAGATCTGGAGTCCAAACAAAGACCCGCGATTGAGCCCTGTCCTGGGCCAGCCCTGGAAATGACCTTGTACAGTGCTCTCTGAACTTGGTCTGTAGATGGCGGGGTAATTCCTGCCTTCAGGGCTGTCTGAGGGGTGCCTGAGTGGCAGGATGCTGGGGGCCCACCCTCTTTGTATCTTTCCTTGTCTCAGCGACTCATCAAGATAATTCCCAGTTATTGTTCTTTTAAAAAGTTGGTTTTCTGGCCCCCCTTACGATGTGAGATAAGGCACCTTTGTTGACTCACACACACAGAGCTCAGTCTAGCACAGCAGATCACTCAATCACTCATCAGCTGGGGCCTGGTGTCCCTGGGCTGGGGCGCTGGACTGCTCAGAGTTCATTACCACCACTCCCAGCCTCCCCAGCAGCACCACCACCGGCCGGGGTGCTTCGTATTCAGAGCACACGGGCGTTGTTGTTGCCACTGTGTGGAGGAGGGAGAGACTCCTGTGCACAAATCTTTCATTTAAAAATTGCATCCCCTTAATGTGACCATATCACAGCCGTGCAGAGGGACTTTATGCTCTCTTGAAACCGAGCCTGAAAATCCAATTTTTTCCTCCTAACTGCCCGATATGGATTGTGATTATTAATGCCGTTGCTATCAGGCATTGCATCTCTGGGGTTGACTGTCAATCACGGTAGTAGTTCTGCATTTGTGTGGGGGACAGGCATCCTTTGGACCTTAATGGGATTAACATGGGACAAAAGTTAAAACCCTCAGGTGGAGTCTGGACACTGTGGTGGAGGTGTCGGGGTGTCCTGCAGGTTGGGCACGCCAGCCGTGTGTCACGTGCTTGTCAGGCTCCCTGCCCTGGCTCTGTGTTCCCTGGCTTGGAGTTAATGTTTGCAGAAATGCTTTCCTACCATGGGTCTCATGAGGAAGCCTCTTGGGGTGTGGGGCAGTAGGTCACTCCAAACGCTTCCTGGCTGTTTGATTGGGACTGGAAGTAGACACTTTAAGGCCACTTAGATACATTTGGGTACAAATGTCTTAAGGCCATTTGGATGCATTTTTCTAAGGTTACTCATGTTTTGCCTGGAGTATTTTAAAGTGTTCTCGCTGGTGACTGTGCAGGAATCCTCAAGAGCAAATAAAAAGCCTCACCTGAGGATTAGATCTGAGCAAGCTGTCTCAGGATAGGAGTGCATAGAGGGCTTTCAGGCATGGTCCCAGGGAACCAGTGGTCAACAGTGCTGGCCCCATAACAACAAATGTTGACTTCTGGAGGTGACCCGATAGTGCCCCTGTGCCTGAAGGCTACAGCATTGGCACCTCACTTCACCCAGTGCAAGTGTGGCATCTCCAGTGGGTGGCCATCCCATGTATATGGCACTTTGGGTTTTCAGTAGGTCCTGGACAAGTGAGCTGCTGTGTATTGCCATCATTACTGTGCAGGAAGCCACCGTCTTACACCTGGGTCATGTTCCAAAAGCACATTTGTTATTTGCAGCTTGAAGAGATTTTCCTCCTAAGACAATGTCCTAAGAAGCACAGGGAACCCCCTGTTCCTGGTCAGGGCCTGGGAACCAGGAGATCTCCCAGGGCGTGGCGTTCATCCCTCCTTTCATCTTCAAGCTCCTTGAATCTCAAGGCTACAGGGTGATTCCCTCCCTGGAACTGAGGGAGAGGGCGCCCTGGACCTGGCAGCAGCTGTTGCCGGGCAACAAGGAAATTCCCTTGTGATGCTGCTCCAGGAGCAGAGGGGGAGTCTCCTGGCTTCATTTCACACCAGCATCGATGCCCCTCCGTGGGATGGTGGCATGACAGGTGTGTGCAAGACAGAGCTGCCCCAGTTGGCGCCTCAGCAGCGAGTCCCAGGTTCTCACTTGAGGGAGTCGTTTTTCTGAAGCCGTGATTTGTGACCGTGAAGTTCCATGACTTAGGGAAAAGCAGTAGCTGAATATTCAACGAGTTTTGTATTAAATACCGCTGTCCTCTGCATTATGCTGGCTGCCATGGGAGATAGGAGAAGAAGTGTGAGGTGGTTCCTCTGCTCGGTTAGCTTACTGTGTAATTAGAGGGAAAAGATGATGAAGTCCCAGGAATAAGGCATGGAGAAGGAACAGCCTCATGGGACTTGGGGACGGGCAGCTCTGCTTTCTTCCTCCTCTGAGGTGATCTACTAATAAGCCCAGTTGGACTTTCTCTCCAGTTTGTAGTACGGAGGTAGAGCCCGGCTCACCTGCTGCCAGCTTCCCATGAATAGGATCAGATTATGATTTGGACTCCACTGAAAACTGGTTGTCACTTGTGAGATGGCAGTCGCCTTTCACCTTGCGACCAGGAGCATGCCAGGGCAGGCTGAAGCCCTTCCCATGACTTCAGTTTCAGTTAGAAATTGAAACACGTGAACTTTCATGATGAATGAATCCGTTCCAGTTCCAGATCACGCTGTTGTCAGTCTGTGGTGCCGGGCGTGGGCTGTTTCTTACACTGACTGTGTCTGCTCACTCTAGGGCAGTCCTGGGAATTTTTGCAACATCGTTCCCATTGTTCAGATGAGAAAGCAGGGGAAGCTAACTTGCACAGGGTCCTGTGCTTGCTGCCTTCAAGCCCAGGGCATATGTATTGCATGGAGAATGTGGGGCTGCCCACTGTTGGTTTCAATTCTGTCCTCTGCCAGCTATAGTCGCAGTGAGGTTTATTTAATTTATTTATTCCAAATAAATGAAATATTTTTTTCTTTTCAGTATTAACTAAAAGTTTTTGTTTTTAATGGTTATAATTTTTATAGCTGAAGTTGGTTCCTGATGAACATCAATTAGATGCACTTGGCTAACTGCATTTTTTTCCAAGTAATGGGACATTAGTAAAACTCCTGACGTCAACGTGTAGGCAGAGGTCCTTTCCTAGAGAGGCTGTGGGTTCTGTGTTTCCACCTTAGAGTACATCTTGATTCTTAAACAAAATCCTTTAAACTTAAAAAATTCTTTAAGACCTTAAAAAATCAGCCTATGTAATCCTTGATTTTTCTGTTGAAAAGGCTGATGGGGCCCGACGTAAACAAAATCACAACAGTCAGGACAGCGAGCAGCTCCGGAGGCCGAGCAGGAAGCTCAGCTCCTAGTGGCCTCAGTGGCACAGGGTTGTCATAGCTCCAAGGTCCTTGCAGGATGGTGGCTTTGCAGTTTCAGTGTCTGAATTGGTATGAATTATTTTTATATCAATTTATCTAAATAAATAAATAAATAAAAAGAAAGCCTAAAGGCTTTTCTCCAACGGAGAAACCCACTTGGCAGGAGCTACCAGGTAGCACCTTCCGGCTGGGCGGCCTCCTCCAGGTCCTGTGGCCCCTGCAGCTGCCTTCCTGAAGGTCCAGAGGTCAGTCTTTTCAGGCTCCCAAATGCATCCTTACAGCTTCCACCCGGAAGCCACCCCATGGTAAATGTAGATGGAAATAGACTCAGTGAGTTGCTGCAAAGCAGGCGAACCTTTTGAAATAGGGTTGATTTTTCTATTAAAATTTAACGGGGACCCTGGTCTGACGTGGCGTGGGAGGCAAGGGGGATGAGGCCATTGCTGGGTGCAGAGCTGACTGTCCCTCTGCTTGCAGTGGGCCTCCTGGGCTTGCTGAAGTGGCGCTCCAACACCAGCCTGCTGCAGCAGAACCTCCGGCAGCTCATGAAGGTGGACGGCGGTGAAGTGGTGAAGGTAACGTGGGCCCTGCCTAGGGACTTCACTGATGGATGGAGGCACTGACCCCATGGCCGCATAGGGTTCTGGGTATAATCCTGTTCACTCGCAGTGCACCCCCTCCGAACGGCCAGAGTGTGCTGGGATCCTCGTGTGGGAGGCTGCAGGGTCAGCCTGGAGTATTCTGTGGCCAGTCTCCAGGGTTCCATTTCCTCCTCTCATGGGTCCTGTGCAGTGCTGGCCACAGCTACATGGCCTCTGCAAGTCCCACTTTCACTAACTTGAGGTGGAATCATGGTAGTGTCTTGTCTGGGGGATTGTCGAGAGATCCGACAGCCCGCATCTGGCATGCTGGGATGTGCTGTGCCCATTGTGACCTGTAACCCTGACCCACACCTCCTCCAGGTCCTTCATCTGAGGCCTGGTGACCGTGTGGTGCGGCACCCAGCACAGCGCCAAGTCTACCTTGCTCATTTTAGCATTTTGTTCCTTATGATCTTGGACTGTCTCTCACCTCACACATCAGATCTGGGTGTGTGTTGGGTACGACCATTTCTTCCGACCTTCTTTGCTCAGTGTCTGAGATCTGGCAGTGGGATGGAGTGGGGTGATCCAAGATCCCTTTGACCACTCAGATCCTGGATTCTTGTTCTGTGATTGTTCATGGTGCTGGTATGTCTACCAGGATGGGGTGCTTCTTCTCTCATGCACCACACCGAGGTGCTTGAACGATTTTCCTTGCATGTGAGGAAATGCACTATTATTTCCAGTGTGCTTTGGGTGGATCAGGGACATTACCTGCTCACCAGCACGCAGCGTGTCCTGAGAAAGGTCTCTGCAGCAACGTCTGTACATTCCTCACCCTCCATGAGAAGTGCCAGGGAAGGGAGCCTGCCTTATCTCTGCAAAATTAATTACTTAAAATGGCCTTAATTAACCAGCAGTGTGCTTAACTTCAGAATGAATTAATCTGGTTGCACGACTTTCCTAAATTCCTTGTATAACAATTCAAACATATCCTTGCTAATCTTACAAATTTTAATCATCTTCTCAGTCCTAGCCCTCTACCAATGGCGTGGACAATGTTAATTGCATTTTAAACTTCTCTGGGTTCTATAAATTCCCCAGTTCAAATGGAAACGGGGAGAGTACGTGAACGTACTTTAGAAGACACGCAGCTAATGAAATTTTGTCCTCTTTCATTTCAAGACTCCGTGTCACCTCAGGAATTCTCTGTACTTTTGTTGACCTTTTGTGGCTTACCAGGAAAAATGGAGAATCCTCTTATCCTGTTCCCCACCCCTGGGTCCTGTCACCTGTCATCCCTGGGAAGGATTTCCCCATCTCTCCCACCTTCCTGTGCACACGGGCACCCAGGTGGCCTTCTCACCTCACCTACTGACTTGGTCTTCTACCTTTGCTGGCATGTCCTACAGTCTTCTGTGTGCCCATAGAGGTGACCTGAGTGTCCAGGCCACTGGCTGTTGATGGCCAGGCCTGAGGAATTCTCTGGCTGTTCAGGGTTCCTTTGGCTTCACTTAGGGACACTGGCAGGTCCTGAGTTTGGTTCCATCTGTTGGAGGCCTCCTTTCTGTATATTTATAACTGATCCTAGAGAGAGGGCCTTCTTTGATAGATTGAGGAAGGTTTTATATATTTAGTTGAAGCAATGGTCTCCCATTCCCACTGGAGAGTGAAAATGGTGGTTTTGTTTCTCCAGCGGGTGGTCTCAGAGACAGGGAGGGGTGCCTGCACAAGCCGTCTCCTGGCTCCACATGGGGACCTCCTTGCCCTGCTCATCCCTGACCACAGGTCTCTGCAGCCATGTGAGGGCGGCTCCGCTCCCTCCACTGCTGTTTCTGGGCTACTGAGCAGGTCACTGGTCTGGGTGGGGCTGGCCGGCCTCCTTTGGAGTTTGCAAGAACCAGCGAGCCAGGGCTTGGCACCTGGAAACCGGTTGGCAGAACATTAGGTTGTTAGCAGATGGTGACCAGATTTGACCTTGGTGAGGAGTTGCACTCTGGAAACAAAGGGAAATGCTAAGGGGTCATAAGGTGGTGCAAACCCAGATGATCCGAGAGTTTCTCGAGCCCTTGTTGTCTAGACTAGAGAGCCTTTGGGTCAGGGTGGTTTTATTCTCTGCCATTTGTATGTGACGTGTTCTGGTATAACCTGGGGCTGGGCAGCACAGTGGAGTACGGTGAAGACTCGGGCCTTGGTGAGTCTGGGGTCTCCTGCTGGGCATGGGGGCTGTCCTCCTTCCCAGAGGAGAGCTGGGAGGCTTCTGCCTCTGTGGCCAGTTCCAGCACACCGAGCACAAGTTTGTTTCCTGATCTCAGGCTGTGACAGTTTGAGACCCTCTGTGTGGTCTGGAAGGACCTCTGACACTGGCATAGGCTGGACCATTTAGGAGAATCCAGACCCCATGTGGTTCAGCCACCCTTTGATGTTCTTGCTGTGGAGCTACCTTACCCCCTTTTCCTTGTTAAAAGTGATGGTTTCATCAAGGTTATATTCATAGACCATAAAAT